CCCCTTTCTCCGCATCCCCGCCAATATCTGTCGTTTCCTGACTTGTTAATTTTAGCCATTCTGACTGGTGTGAGGTGGTTATCTCATTGAGGTTTTGATTTGGATTTCATATATAATTATCTTACCCCCCCGCCCCCTGCAATGGAGATCATACAGAGCTTTAATTGGGGTCAGTCACTTTTTTATCTCTTCTTTCACTCAACAAGTATTTATTGAGTACCTTCCATATATGAGGTGTCATGGTTGCTGACCTTAGGGCCCTAACACTCTAATGGCGACACAGACAAGCGAAGGTAAGAAGACAATAGAGCTGAGATCCCCCATATCAGGTGCCGGGGCCGTGGACGCACAAATTCGGAGCACTTAACCCAGTCTTGCAGGGGCAGGGGGAAGCAGTCAGGAGGGGCTTCCTGGAAGAAGTAACATCTAAGTGGAGAAGTGAAGGACAGGTGGGAATTATCGAGGCAAGCCAGCAGGGAGGCTGTGGAAGGTGAAGCCGGCTTGCTGTCTGAAATGGCCAGATCACATGAGGCCTTCAATATATTAGCAATGAAAGAAGAAAAGATCCTAACATTTTAGAATGTCTTTTCACTTAAGGTACTCCACTAAATTCCCTCTGTTTACTGGTCAGATATTCAACCTAGCTTCCTAACAACTATCATAAAATTGAACTTTTGTTCGGTTCCCCACAGCAAGGAGAACAGTGACTGGCGATTTTCCTGATCACACACGCTGGTCTGGAATGCATTTATCCAAATAAGTGACACAGCCTGAGGCCACAGCAAGCTCACAGGCCACCAAAGAACAGTTGTCCCTGAAGTCCTTTCCATCTTTAGCTCTGTCACCCCAAGAGGGCCTCAAGGGGTGGGGAGCTTCTGCAAGTCCCCCTTCCGTGAGTGGCTAGCTCCTGTTCCCAGTCACAGAGGAGGGGAAAGTAGAGGGGTTGGGAGGGAGGTGTGGGGGTAGGGGCCCCCTTCACACAACCTTCCAGCTCTCAGCAGGGAGCAATGCCGGGGCCAGGGCCGGGCACACCCATGGAGAAGGGGCTGGCACTGGAAGAGCAGGAGGAAGGGCGGGAACAGGAAGTGGTACACTTGGGTTCTGGAGGCCCACCAAGAAAGGAAAACCAATTTTCAACGGGCCTGTCTTTCCATGTTGCCAGTTACCTCCCCCGCCTCCACGTCCTCCATTAGGAAGCAGGAAGTATATACCCCTCAACTCACCCGGAGTTCCCGCACTATGCGCACTTCCTGTACACACTGGGTCCTGGAATCGGGCTGTGCTGATGACTCACGGCCGACAACAATGAGGTCTCCAGGCACCGTGAGCTGACTTAGGACGTTTACAGAACTGTTCCCACATCAGAGACATTGAATTCTTTTCAGCTAGCCCCTTCACCATCTCTCCCCAACAAACTATTCTTTGCTTAGCTGGACACACCCTTCTCTTCCACATTCCAGGAGCACCTGCTCTGGGACCAGGCAAGGCCTTCCCCAGGTTCTGCTATTTTCCCTAGGCCCCACGCTCAGAGCTGGAGAAACAATCCACTTTATGGAGCCTTCCCACAGGCCGGCCATCACTCTTAGCTCATTTAATCCTTACAACTACCCTATGAAGGAGAGACCACTTTTACTCCTACTTTGCACAGAGAAGACTGTGGCTCGCTGGCCTGATTATTTATCACTATCCCACACTGCTCTTCCCATGGAAAGCCATCTTCTGCTCCTAACCATTAGGCTGGGGCCAGAGGTCTGGCCTCGTCTGTGTCTCCGGCCTCTGAGCTCCTGTGGTCTTTGAGCACTTCTCTGTCACTGCAGTCATGATGCCACTGTGTCTGTGTTGTTGCTGGAACACGGGCTCCTCCAGAGCAGGGAGGCACTGACCCCAGTCCCCTGCCCTGCTGCAGAGTGGTATCTATAGACCCGAAATAAATACTTGCTGAGTGACTTTAGAGAAAAACTAGGATGGCAGGTCTGAGGATCAAGCATAGTCTACTGTGGGCATTGTACATAGTAAACAATAAATGAGGCTTCTTCAAGAATTGCATCTGATACTAAAGGCATTCTAGAATGTTCTCAGTTCCAGAAGCAGCTCCAGATCGCCCAACATGGAGAGCTTCCAAAGTGCTGACCACTTTCTGTTCCCAGTCCCCGCACGTGGTATTTCATACGCATTCCTCCGTGGAACCCTCTCAACCACGCGGTGAGCCTGTTTTCCAGGTGAGGCTCAGAGAGGGGAAGTGACTCCCAGTCACAGACGCTGAGAGGCGAACCGGCATTCAACCCCAGCTACTTCGGAGAAACTGCCCGAAGTCTTTGACTTTTAGGGTACTAAATAGCATCGCCAAAATTAGAGTTATGACCTAATTGCCACATTTGTCCTCATCCCCATGCCCAATTTTTCAGCCTTCAAAACACCCTAAGGCCACTCTGGTCCTTGAAATCTTTGTAGCTGACCCAGAGAGAAAATGGGACAGTCACCTAAAAACCTGGTGTGCCCACTCAAGGACCCCGTACCTGCTGGGGCCCCAGCGCTGGGCCTGCATGCACCTCCTTAGGACCAAAATGCATTTGTTCACCAGTGAACAAAAGCCCCGTGCTCCCACACGAACACAAGACGGGACGGAGACCTGACAGAGCTGAGCACTGGCAGAGTGCCACGCGTTACGGAAACAAAGTGCAGCTCACACCAAACCAAACCACACAGAGCCAAACTGAAGCCTGGTGTTCTCAGCTGTGTTAGAGCAAACCAAGGGAAGTCTCCGAGGCATGAATGGACGTGAGGAAGGCCTTCCTTCTCGTGGGGCTTTGGCACCAGGCCAGGAGGCACCCAAAGTGGGAGTGACTTCTGAATCGCCTCAAGAGGCCAGAGTGCTGACTGTCCTCTGCCTCCAACTGCCCCCAGCCTGGTACCTTAATCGATGGCCCCTCCGTTCCCTCCTGGGTACTATTTCTGCCAAGGCAAGCGAAGGGCTCTCACCGGCATCCGCGGGGCCGCGGTAGACGGGCCGCGGGTGAGACGTCCAGCCCACCCTGCCAAGGCACATGCGGTCACGCTGCAGGCCTACCTGGCTCACAGCACTCCGAGCGGCCCTCCTCTTGGCCTGCTCGCCACCTCTATGCAGGTCTGTCTGCTCAGCCTCCCTTCCCGGCAAAGGGCTACCCGGGGACCTGCCGGGCCGGCTCTCCTCGGGCGCGTGGAGATCTGAGAGTCTCTGTTCCTCGCTCAGGCACCTGACCACGTCTGAAGGTCTCAAGCAGCTCTTCTTAGAGATCTTGGGTGCTCCGGGGCATCTCTCACCTGCCTCCCGCTCTGCTCTCCTCTCACACTGTCCGCGCTCTTCTCGCCTCGGCTGCCGCTTACCCTGGCTGCTAAAGGCGTTGCTGAGCTCCGAGATGACCCTATCAGAGCTCCCCGGCAGCAGCTGCGAGAAGCTATCCTGGCGGACACCTGGCGGTGGCACGTGGACACCACTGTCCCCGTTGACGTGAAGGGAGGTGGGGGCACCGCGTGCCAAGGAGGCAGCTTTGTGGGGGGGAGGCAGGGCCAGCGAGGAAGCCATCGAGCGTGGGGTGGAAAGATCAGACCAGCTCGAATGGGGAAGGCTGAGAGACAGAGAGGAACCGGGCCTCGCCCACGAGGCAAGGTGGTCGGTGTTATAGACAGAAGTCTCCGGCAGAGGAGGCAGGGGTGGGGTCAGGGCCAGAGGCCGCCTGCCTGGGACCCCAACAGTCAGGGAGATCCACTCAGAGGTGACAGCGTGCATCTCGGGGGACAAGGCTCGGTGGGGGTGGGACAGGGATGAGGGGGCTGGCATGATGAGCTTGCTGTGACTGGCAAACTTAAAAAGAAAAGGAGAGAGAGGAAAACAAAGGAAAGAAGCAAAAGGTACAAGTGTCAGCATAAAGAAGAAAGGAGGAAAATAATCACAAGGGATATACAAAGAGGAATGAAATGCAGAGGGCGAGGACACTCTGGTGTCCAAAAAAACGAAATCGTTTGGTTAGGTTGGAGAGAAAGTGGGACGTGGGTGCCTGCGTGTGCGCGCGCACCGTGTGTGTGTGCACGGCGTGTGCCGGTGGTGGAGGAGGGGCAGGCGAGGCGAGTGGTACGGAGGTGGGAGGAAGGGGCCCACTGGGGCGGTTACAGATGGCGCTGGCCCAGTTTGCAGAATCAGACTTTCAGAGGGACACACTGGAAGGCCCCCATCCTACCCCACCCCACCCCACCCCCGCTGCCACCGAAGAGGCCCTGACCCAACACCATGAAGGAAAAAGGTGCCCTGCCACTGCCCTGCCCCTTCTTTGGGCTTTTATTCTCTCCCGAGTTCTCAGCAAAGAGCCTTCCAGACAGGGGTACGAGCAGTGGAGTCATCTTGTTTTACAGTTGTGCTTGGCTACAGTCAAGCGAAAAATCTCGCTGAGTTACTCAAATTACTAGGAAGCAGAAGGGCCTGCACTGACCCCATGCCCTCTCCCCGTGAGACCGCAGGAGATGGATCTCGCTGTGCGGGAGCCCCGGGTCAGCCCGTCTAATGCTTTCTGCCAGGAACCACCCCTGCAGTCAGGGGTGGGCAGGTGGGAGAAGAGGAAATAATGAGAGGATGAGAAAGAAGAGGCACCACCCAAGTGTCATCCCGGGTCCAGGTCCGGGTCCTGCTCTCACGCCTCTGGCCATTCTCCCTACAACTTACCACGGTGGTATGGCCAGTGGTCTTCACAGGAAGTCACCCCACCATGCCTCTTCTGAACCCAAGGTCCTAATCCTTTCTTGGCTTTGGGGAAGTGGGGATGGGTTTGGAATAATTTATACTTTATAAAACAAGTCTGTTCATAATGAATGTTTAGGGATGCAAACATCTTACTATGCCTATAAACCTACTTCCTCTCGGCCCAGGGTAGAAAGAGATGCTATATGTTTCTTTCCCAGCCTGGTTTCTTACTTGCAAAGAACACTCTGGATCTGGTCCATATGTCTGAGGATGAGAACGTGACAATCTCTCTTTCAATCTTTGCCTTCTGCAGGCCAGCCTTGGCCAAAAAGATGATGAAGAGAACCATCCTGGGTCATGGTATGTATGGGACACTGGTGGTCCCCAGACAACCAGCTTCCCCCAGGGTAGGCTGCTCCTATACAGTTTTGGGCCAACTGCTAAAGTCTCTCATTTCTCTTGCCCTAATCATCTTTTCCCCAGAGCCATCACCTTAAGCTCTTTCCTTTCCCCACGATAATAGTTCTCCCTCCCAAGTTCTCGAAACGTGTCATTTGTACGCATGAAAACAAACCCTGGTGTGTATCCTCTGCATGACTGCAGATGGTTCCTAATCACAGTGCTGCAGAACCACCCCAGAGGGGCTGTGTGGATTGGTCGTGAGGAACGTGAAGACCAGGGATGAGAAGCTTAGGTACCTGCGGGCTCACGGTGCCACTACGACTTGGGGAGGAGGAGAAAGGCAGGTCGATGTAGTCCACGGGGTTTTTCACCAGGGGCCGCTTGATCACGTCCACGTAGGTGATGGGGAAGATGCCTTGCCGGGACGTCCCTGGGACCCTCCCTTCGTACCAGTTCTCGTCTACCTGCCGGAGCAGCATGATCCTCTCACCCTGCAAGACACGGCAAGGGAGGGTCTTTGTGCCACCGCGCCTCGGCAGGTCGGAGGCCCCTGCTTGCACCCTGTGCCATCCTTCATTGTTTATCACATCCTTTGTGCAGAAAAACCTTCCTTGCTAGACCTGGATAAAATCCGTTTCACGGAGATGAGGTGCTGACAGCAGGAGAGCTACCTGGAGGCTGAGAAGTGAAGCTTAGTTTCCAAATATTACAGTAAAGGAGAAAGTCAGAGTCTTTCCCCCTAACCAACTGCCGAATGGAGGGGTTTTGCCTCATTTATCACAAAACTGATATCCAGTTTTCTCTAAAGCAAAGGTTTTGGAGCATTATCTTTTTTTTTTTCCTTCATTTTTAGAACTTTGTTTTTTCCCTGTACCACTATAGAAAAGTTAAAACACAAACATTAAGCAGAAAACTAGTTATTACCCAGAAGATTATCTCTCGGGGTAACCACAGTTAATATTTTGATATATGTATTTCCCAGATTTAATTCTGTTCATGTGAATTAGACTTGCACATATTTTTTTTTCTTATGAAAATGGAGTATGCACTGTATTCCCCTTTCCAACCTTCTTTTTCACCCTTTATGACATAGTACGAACCTCCTTCTTTTCAACAAATAGAATTCTACAGTTTTAATGCTATTGCAGCAACAGCATAATGGCCCATTGCAGGCCGTTCTATTGTACACACATACAATGACTCAATTACTGGTCTCCCGATATTGGGCATGTAGGGTGCTTCTCTTTTCCGTAAGGTAGTTCGTCTTTTTCTAAGGCATGTGTTCATTCCCCTAAATCCTCACTAAAATTAGTAACTAATAACACTTCAGTAAAGCCAGGGAGTTCTGACACGGGAAGAGAGCATCTGATAGCAGGGAAGGAGGGCATCCCTGCACAGCTCACTCATGTGCAAAGCAGGCACACTGAGCTCCTTGCGGGCACCGACTAGATGCCATGCATCATGCTGTGGGCTTCACAGAGGTGGTTTCCTTGGATCCTCTTAAAACAGCTCTAAGAGAGGGTCATTTGTCTTCATTTTACAGATGATCAAAGGGCGGCTTGGAAAAGTCTTTAACTCCCCAAAAGTTGACTTTTGGCTTCAAAGGACTTGCTCTTCTTCACTGGGCCATAGGAATATGTTGTAAAACCTAGTCACAACCACTTTTCACATCATTGGATGCTCAAAAAATGTTGGCTGAAGAGGTCTAAGACTCCAGAAATACTGCCGTTAATCAGTGAACTTAATGTTAATTAAACCCTGACAAAGCCTAGGGTTTATTTTTTAAATGCCTCACCTCAGAAAATTCTCCACCTGCCCTTCATGCAACCCTTGATGGGGCACATCTCTCGGGCACAGACGGTACCACGTGACTAGTACATGGTATGTATGGGACACCATCCCATATGCCGTGACGCCCCCTCCCGGAGAGAACAGGGCCATCCAAACAGAGCCCCAGGGCTGAGAAGAGAGGGTGCTTACCTTCCTGAAGGACATTTCTACTTGCGTATCACCATTAAAGTTGAACTTAGCGATAGCTTCTCCATATTCCAAGACCTGCACCGGTGCCAACTTCTTGGGCTGAGCCTTCTCAGCGGGAGGAAGAAGCTGAGAAAGGGAAAGAGGCAGAGGAGAAGAAAAAGAGAAGAAAGCGAGGGCATGAGAGCAAGGGAGGAAACAAACAAACAAAAAAACACAAGTTCTTGGTAAGTGAGTGGTGCTTTGGGCATGACCAGGCTCTTCTGTGGAAAGAGAAGGAGGGAGGGTACCTCGATGTAGGTGCGCGGGAAGATCCCCACCCGGCCGTGATGCTCTCCTTCATACCAGTTCTGATCAATCTGCTTGTAGATGTACACAATGTCCCCCTTCTGCAGAGGAAGCTCCCTGTTGACAGAGGTCAGAGCATGTTAGCAGATGTCTCAAAATGTGTAAGATGAAGACACTCCATTTTTTAGCAAAAGGAGACTCTGAGTGAGGTCAAAGGGGACAAATTATAGAAGAGGGGCCTCCACATTCGGAAGGGAGAACCTCACTCTTCAGGAAGTTACATCCCTTTTGGCATCCTTCCAGTCTTCCGTGGGATGGATGTTAACTTTCAGAAGGTGCTCACCCCACTCCAAGGTGCTCACAGGCTGTGTGAGTTTGTTGTGGTTTTCTCAATGTATTTTTTGTGAATGCTGGTCTTATGCTCAGAATATTTATGCAACACGTAACAATGCACCAAGTAGTCTCAACTGATGTCCAGTAAATGATGACAAACATTTCCCTGTAGATAGTTTCACTGTCTTCACTATGCTCCTTCTATGCCCTAGCAAGGCATGCTTTCATTGCTTGAAACGACCCTCAAATTACTTGTGATAGACTGACATCCTTGTGACCTTCCATCCAGTCAGCCAGCTGCCACCCACCACATCATCCTCCACCCGTCTGTCTATCATCATGCAGTAGAAAAGCTCTGAAATTAGGCAGATCCGGGTTTAAAGCCCAGTTATGTCATTTACTAGCTCTGAGACCTGGGGTGAGATACGTAATCTCTCTGAGATACTTTATCTGAAAATAGGAGCTAACTCAGAGTTGCTGGAAAAATGTAGCAACAAAAACTGCAAGTAAAACACCCAGCACTGTGCCTGTTACAGAGTTAGCACTCAGGAAATGGGAATTCACTACTTCCTTTTCAACATGGGAAAGGAACCTTGGAAAGAAAACTGGATTTTCCTTAAAATGTTCTTCATGTATTTTTGCAACTTTTCTATCTCCATCCATCCCTTTGCTGGCCTTAATAATGATGCTGTTAACCTCTAACCAGGGTTCCTTTAAAAAAAAAAAAAGATGAGAAGATAAATTATAAGCAAAACAAAAACTGAAAAGGAGGATAACAACTGTAGCTTGAAGTTTTTTGAATTAAAAAAAAATGACCTAGATCTTTTCCATTTGCATCAAACCAAAAGCAATGGAAAGAAAGGCTCTGACTGCAATTTGGAGGGGGTGGGCCTGTCTCCTCTGCAGTGTGCCAGGAAGCCGCACGGTTATGTGAGGGGCGCTGGCTAAACAATGGGGGCACATCTGGAAGACTTTACACCAAGTCCACACTGTGCTGAGTGCAAGAACAAGGCAGCCTTTGTGGTGTCGCACTGGTAGACAAGATTCTAATCCTGAAGAGGCCCGTGGAGGGGATCTAGGGCATTTGTCTCTGTAAGACAGAATGTTTCTGGCCAGTTTTTTGCTATAGCTCTCCTTGGGGGTGTCTGAATCCCCTCCTCTCTTTACCCCCCAACCATGGACATATGGATGTGCAGGACCCTCAGCATATCCACCCCTGCTGGAGATCTGTACGCTTCACGCTCTCCCACCCTCAGTGACTTGCAGCTGTAGAGGCAGGTGGGAGTGTCACGGTCCCGGTGGTAAGCAAGGAGGATGTCAGCTTGTGGGGGGCTGAGAGGTCTGCAGCCATCCTTCCTGCACTGCGGACCACATGCCCATCTCCCAAAGAACCACAGCGCAAGGTCTGGTGGTAATGAGGTTCCAGAAGCACTAATACGATATTCTCCAGGTCTTTTCTGGAGTGTCACCATGTCTATCATCAGCACAGGAGAGGCTCAGAGAAGTCCTGCGGGTAAGAAACCTGTTTAACTTTGTTGACTTGAGTGCTCCTACAGGACACTTTTTTGAGTAACATACAATGGAGAAAAGTAGAACCCAGTGATTAAAGACATTTAGAAGACTCAAGTCAATGGATCTGTCCTTTACTCTTTTAAAAAAAAAGTTCTATTAACTTTTCTGGGAGGGAGCCAGGGGTAATAACAGCACGGAGCCAGGCGGTAGACTCCTCTCTCCAACATTAGCACCATTTTAATTCTTTTTTTATTTAGAGAGAGAGTGTGTGTGTGGGGTGGGGAGGGGCGGAGGGAGAGAGAACAATCTTAAGCAGGCTCCACGCCCAGTGGGGAGCCCGACATGTGGCTCAATCTCACGACCCTGAGATCATGACCTGAGCCGAAATTAAGAGTCAGACACTTAACTGACTGAGCCACCCAGGCACCCCCAGCATTATCACTGTTGATAAATGGTGACAATTCTGTCTCAATCAGCCTTCTCCCCTCTTCTATTGGACAAAGTTGCTCTAAGGAAAAAATTGTTCTGACTTTGTAATGAAACCTCCGTAAATATAAGATTATCATCACAATACCATTCAATGATTATACAGACCTCTCTCAATTCAAAGGAGAAAGGGGGAAAAGGTACCATTTGATTAAACTAAAAATTAATTTATAGAACTCTGTTATCTTCTCTCTGGTTAAAAAGAAGGGACAGGGGGAGTTGCTGACTTTTGCTACATTATGCAAAATGTTTTATAACTATTACCTCAGCTGCCCTGCAAGAGTGGCATTTTTATGTCCATTTTATAAATTTGGAAATTTGAGGTGGAGGTTGGTGACTTGCTCACTGTCACAGAGACAGTAAGGGGCCCAGTCACGACTCAAACACAGGACTTCCTGACTCTAGAGCCCATCTGTCCAGCACACTAGACTGCCACCTCTTGTTAGCTGATGAGCTAAAGGAATGGAGTGATTACAATCAAACCCAACATACCAGAATTTGTGCCTAGGTCTGAAGACTGTGGTCTGGTCACTCATTTTGTATTGGAGGAGATCAGAATCATGGCTGAGTAGCCTTCTCCATGGCATTACTCAGTGTCCAGTGATGGAGAGCTTCCCCTCTCATCACCAAGAATGGAGATGTGGGGCCTGCCATCAGCAGGGCAATGGGATGGCTGCTGGTTATTGCTACCAATGGCAACTCATGGCCCATTTTAATCCATAATTAGATAGGAAGTGAGCAGGTTCCTCGTAGAACCCAGGCTTGCTAGCATTTTCCAAATTTCATTCCATGGAATAGAAAGGCTTCCCGGTCATCTAAAATTAGGTAACACTGGGTTAAATAAGCTAATCAGGTTTCTTCATTGAGGGCCTTCTAGAGCCATCACTATGCCAATAGCAAAGTCTCTCTGGGAAGAAGGGGGCATGGGAGGTATTGACATAGTGTGCAGTGGTTCCTAGACTCCTTGCTAGGATGGAAGACTTTTTTTGAGAAGTATTTTATGGAGCTAGCCCTTTGAGAAACATACTGCTTTCCTGTGGGTTCCCACAACCACTGAATGTCATAAGATGTTGTAGCAAAACTAATGAAGTTATCATTATAGATACTGGTTCTGGTTCCTGCCATAGAAAGAGTGGGTCAGATTGAGCCACCACGTCATCAAGCAAACTGAGTCCCTGGATAGGAGGCGGCAAGGTGGCACAATGGTAGGAGCCCAGGCTCTGGCACCAAGCTGCCAGGGTTTGAACCCCCTGCGTCTATCACTGACCAGCTTGGGCAAGCTCCTTAACCTCACAGCTTCTCAGTTTCCCCATTAGTGTTAACAGGGATAACAATAGCACCAACCCCAGAGGGTTCTGGTGATGGCTGAATCAGTTACCATATGTACGTAACTTGAATGGTGCTTGGCACGTAGTAAACTCTATAAATTATTGTTTTTAATCATCGTTGTTGTTCTCCATCTCTTTACAAGTGAGCTGTGTTTCAAAGAGACAGTTATAAAAACAAATTGGTAGTACTTACTTTAGAGTCTGAGCTTTAAAGTCAAATTTGGCTCTGGCAGGTCTCATCTAAACACAAGAAACAGTGAAAATTTAAAAATCACAATTTATGTACAATGAAAAGGACACATTTTTCAGTAGTTTCCAGAAAGCAAAGCAGAAAAATTCTAACTAGTTCATTCTGGTGGAGAAATCTGGGCAAAATTCCACTTATCTGACCTCAGCAGAACATTAGATGAATGTTTGATCAACTATGTCATGCATGAGAATCTCCCTAAGGAGGACCAGATTTGGGGAAGAGATGTTTCAAAAAGTCCCAAAGCTGAAGCACTGGTTCCCCAAAGCTGACCATGGCTATTAAAAACAACACACACACACACACACCAGTCGGCCAGAAGTCCTCAGACATTCCTACTCTTTGGGGGACATCTCCTATTCTCCTGACTTAAATTATGATCTGCAAGTGGACGAAACCCTGATTCACCTCTCACATCATCTTTGACTCTGTAGATTTCTCCTGGCCTGTGAGATCATCCCAAAAGCCAGACAAAGCGAGCCCTGAGTTCATTCTCTTTCTCCAAAGCTTCCTTTCCTTTCGGGTAGCCCTCTCCTTCTGGACCCCCAGGCCTGGAAGTCCTCCTCAGACTCCAGTTCCTCAAGTCTGTCACTCAGTCATACCGACCCTCCCTCCAGAACCCTCCACAAGCATGCTCAGGGCTGACCTCTAGCTCCTACACACACAAAGCTTCCTTTGACTTTGTCTTCTCTTCACTTGCATCTACTGTCACTCGGGAGCACAAACAACATTCCTCAAATACTTCCGTCCATCACTTCCTTGCTTTGAAGTTGGCTGAGGCTCTCAAGTATCCCTCAGATCAAATCTCAATTCCTGACGTGGGTTAAGGTCTTTGGGTAACTTCTCCCCAATTTCACATACTTTCTCTTCAATATCAGAGGACAAAGCGGAGGGGGAAAATGGGAGACTTGGTGAGGAAAAAAAAAAAGGTATTTAAAAGCTCCATCAAGGGGCTCCTGGGTGGCTCCGTCGTTAAGCGTCTGCCTTCGGCTCAGGTCATGATCCCAGGGTCCTGGGATCGAGCCCCGCATCGGGCTCCCTGGTCGGTGGGAAGCCTGCTTCTCCCTCTCCCACTCCCCTGGCTTGTGTTCCTGCTCTTGCTATCTCTCTCTGTGTCAAATAAATCTTAAATAAATAAATAAATAAATAAAAGCTCCATCAAGCTTAGTTTTTTTTTTTTTTTAAAGATTTTATTTATTTATTTGAGAGAGAGAATGAGAGAGAGAGAGAGAGCATGAGAGGGGGGAGGGTCAGAGGGAGAAGCAGACTCCTCGCCGAGCAGGGAGTCCGATGTGGGACTCAATCCCGGGACTCCAGGATCATGACCTGAGCCGAAGGCAGTCGCTTAACCAACTGAGCCACCCAGGCGCCCCATCAAGCTTAGTTTTAGGTCCTAAACCCCTCAGTGATATGTCCCTTATTAGTAGGCTCCTCAAGCTGGGATCTTGTAGGGATTTTCTTACGGGTGGTGAATTCCCCACAGGAATTTATTTTTGCATTTTCATGTTGATGTTTCGCCTCTATCTATCTGCTCACATATGTATTAGAGGTCAACTGAATGACTACTTTACAATCAATGCCACACAATTTCAATGCCTGCATTTGTGTCCGTCTGTGACCGAAGAGCACAATTTAGTAGTCGTAAGCAAATAAGAAAAGAGTGGATGTGGAGTTAATGATAAATGACACGTTCAAAAGAGAAGGCCAGATAACCAACATTGTAAGGACAAAAATTTCAGTGATTCCAATCAAAAAAAAAAAAAAAAAAAGATGGTCGTTACCCAAGGACAGCCAGCTGTAGAGCTGTGGGGACTTTAAAAAATGTATACCAAACAGCACCATATTCACACTTTGCGTGGCAACTGAGTTCAGGCAAAGGGATTTCACCTATCGGTTAAATTAATTAAGTTTTACAGGTGTGTCATTAACTATTTAATTTGTAAATTGGCTTAGGCCAATACTGGGGATTGGTGAAAACAAATTTTTTTTTTCCATTAATCAGAATCGATATGTTACTCAAAGTTGAGAAAAACACTGATTCCATGGAACTGTTAAGACATATTCTGAGTCATCGTTGCCTATGCAAAGTAGCATCTCCCTCTTCATCTACCTGTCTCCCTGAGGCCCGATCCATCTACCCCTCCCCCGGCTCCCACAGCACAGACCAAGGTCATGAGGGTGCCTGCCCCGCTAGACTCCCAGCTTCCCAAAGGCACAGTCTGCGTCCTATTTCTGCCTCCACACGGGGTCTTGAACAGAATTACTGGTCACCCACATTGTACTCAGTGGGGCTGGGGTACATCTACATAGCCCTGTGCACCTGGGACTTGTTGGTCTCTGTTCTCCCATGTCTGTCAGTCAACATCCAGGGCAGTGATTCTCAAAGTGGGGTCTCTAAACCGGTATTATCAACATCACCTGGGAACTGGCTAGAAAGGCAATCCTTGGGCCCCACCCCAGAATTAGAATATTTGCGGACGGGGCCCAACAATCTGTATTTTAACAAGCCCCCGGGAGATTCTGATGAGCACCCAAGTTTGAGAATCAGTGCTCTGGAAGGGAGGCAGGGAGAGTTAGGCAGTTTGCCTGCCTCTCTCCAAGGCTGTTCTGCCCCAGCTGCATTTCTGTGTGCATGTTCCTATACATGGATCTATGCAGCCCTATGGTGCCTTACGTTCCGTTCCCCTCTTCCCCATCACTAACAAGCGGGTAGGCCTGTGAATGAGGATAATCCATCACCAGAGCCTTCGGAACAGGGTGGTTCTGAGGAGCTAGAATGCTGAGGGTTGGGGGCTGCCTTTCCCTTGCATCGGAGTTACCCCTGCTAACTTCTGCCTCTTCCTCATTATGTTTTCTTTCTCTCCATCACTGTAGAGTGTCCTTCCCTTTCCCCGCTTTTCTTTCATGCTGGTTCTCTTTTCTCTCTTTGTCACAGAGAGACATTTCGTTCAAAACAAAACAAAAAACAAACCATTTGATGAGAATAGCCAGTGCCTCTGTCTCTCAAAGGGTAGAAACATGAATATCAAGCTCCTATTACACTGAAAGATTTATAAACCTGTATATGCTTTGGTGTCACTCCCCTAGCTCCCTGCCTCCCAAGCCCCAGACATACACACTTCCCCAGAAGGAGCTAATTCTTAGGGGACCACTTAGGGTCCCATGGCAAAACATACTCTGATGCAGGCAGCAGTGTTTGGCCGGCATAAGAATTTCAACATGTTGGCCTGAGCGCAGGAGGCCAAGGCCTGGATAAAATCGCTTCAAAGGTTTGTGCTTTCTTCATGCCTTTTATAATATTAAGTTTTGTAATCTCAGCTGAGAAATGTCAAAATTAAAGGAACAAATGAAATGTCTCTCAGAGAGCCCTCTTCCCCTCCGTGGGTGTATCCTAACCACAAAACTCCTTGGGTTTCAAAATTTTTCAGTGAGGCTTCAGCACTACTAAACACCTTATTCAACTAGTTCAACATACAATACCGAGTGGCAATATTATTCTCTGATTCTCGGGACCTGGGGAAATGGCGTAAACAATGCATTGCTTGCTAACTTTTATAATAAGTTTCACGAAACCATTTCTTCAAAGAAGAATCTTCTAACTGCCCACACAACAGCTACTAACACACACGGGCTAAGGTATAAGGTTTCTAGGCAGAATACACAGGCAACACAGTGTCATGATAAAATGCAGGATGTAGAAGGACTGGATTCGTGAAGACAGCCGATGCTCTAGGCATGCATTGGGGGGGGGGGTGCACCAGCAGATCCCGGTCCCACAGCCAGGCATGCTTGAACATACAGAGCACAGGACATAATGGGACTCATGTCCATGACCAGCCACAGAAGAGCCAAAGCAAGCCTACGGAAGCCAGGATGACAGATGCCGTTTGGAGAACTAATTTGGCCTACAGAAGGCAATGCTAAGGGAAGGCAAATATTGCTTTGGGTCAAGCAGCAGACCGAGGCAACCAAAACAGACCTCTGACCCAGATTTCCTTTTGGCCGTATCGTCTATATTGAGGAGGTCCCCAAAGCGCTCATTAGTGATAAACTGATGGTGCGTCGGAATGACGCCCGTGTGGCGACGAGCTGCAATATCGGCCTCTTCTTGCTCACGCTTAAGTCGTCTCTGGTCCGCTAAAAGTTTCTGCCATGAAATTGCATAAAATGGGCAGTGAATCATCTGGTCCAGGGTGTTGGAAAACTGCCAACAAAACAACTAAGAAAAAGGTACTGGGTGAATGGGGGGAAACGCTGAGGGTCAGGTGTCAGAGGGGCTTAATGGCCACAACTACCACGTCCCCCTGTAGCCACACCCCACATACTCTGTGGAGGAGGGAGACCGCACCATGTGGGAGACACCTGGGGAACCCTGGGCCACGGAGGAAGGATGAATTCCAGACAGTTACAGTCTAGAAAACTGTCTCCTGGTTCAGCCAAAAGCCTCCTGTCCCCAATACATGGCCATGAAGTCCAGGCCCTCTGGGGGTGGGGCGAGTATCTGGAGCAACCACAAGCATGCTGGGCTGGAGGTGGGGGTCTGAGTGTACTGCCCTCACCTCATTTAGGCAGTGATGAGTTCTCAGTGTCTTCCCATGGTGGGGCCAGGGCTGGCTGAATCCCCCTACCTGAATCTGGGCTCTTACTATGCAGGATCTATGGCAACTAGATCATTTTTGTGCTTCCTAGGTCTATTACTCTAATATGCTCCAGAGTAGAGATGCCCATTTCAGAAACTATGGCACCCCTTCTCCTAGGCTGGCCAACTCCTCCCCTGAGCACAATGTCTAGGAGGCCTTAGCACACGCACCAAAGGCTATTTATGTGACTGACAATATCAATTACTTTCTTACTGTACTTTTTACATAACTACTTCTTCAGTAGGTGAAATGAGGCTGAGTTTAAAGGAGTGATGTAGAATATAAATATAAAGGATGAACTTGGAATAAAAACACCTCAGTTTAGAAGAATTATGCTCTCCTAAATTAAGGCAACAGTCATCTACTTCTATTTTTAAGGGCTTCCTCTTTTCTTCCTCTATTTTTAAAGTCTTTTTCAAATAAGTAAACAATGTTGCCTTTTACCAAATGTCCTCATGCCCTATTGAAGTGACGCTATGGAATAGAATTTTAATGTGTTTCCTTATTCCATACTGATTATACATTCCTGGGGTTACCATTCCTTGTAGAAAAGCATTGCGGGCGCCTGGTAATTCTCAGCATTTTCAATAAGGCATTAGTCTTCTTCCAGCAGGTAGTTAAATGCCTCACGTGACACCCAGCCCCAAAGGATGGTGGGCCTGATTTTCCCATTTGTCACCAGGGACTACAAATAATCAAGAAACAAATTCTCAAGTGGCTGTGGGATGTCCAGTGCTCAGGTAAGTTGTCATAAAGATTACATGAGAAAAGACATGAGACAGTGCTTTGCAAAGCCCAGCGCCACTGAAAGGGCACTGGCCCAGGAATGTGGAGCCCTGGTTTCTAGCTGTGCCTCTGGTGTCAGTTAACTTGCTGTGTGACCTCGGGCAAGTCACTACCCCCCTGGAGTCCTTTCCTGGCTAACACAAGGGGGCTTGGCTAGAGGCCTACTAACGTCCCTTCCAGGACTGACATGTTCTCATTTTCTGCAATGCCACGATCATCAATGTTTGTAATAAAGCATTTGCAAAGAAAGCTGTCAGGACTGACACTCCATTAGCTGGTAGTGTGAGTTGTTTCTGTAGCAGTGGGGAGGGACCGCTGTTGGAGGCTCCTGTGACCCCTGGTGCTCAGGCCACGGTCACATAAGATCAGTGGAAGTGGGCAGCAAAGGGAGCAAAGCTCCCAGCCCAGTGCTTGGATCGGACCTCAGCAAATCCATCGTCCCCACAGTTTAACCAGAGAAGCCAAACACCATGAATGAAGACACAACTGTGAGCCAGTGTTATTCAGGGAACAAGATGCTCCCCTTCTGAATGCACCCTGTAATACAGCAATTGCTAAAACAACTAAGTAAAATATGCCTCCCGTGTAGTGGGCATGATCCTATCACAAAGCCTTCCATGTTGGACACTAGTATTTATACTAATAAAATGGAATGTCATCTTCTTCCTTGTATCTCAGGGACAGCTACTAGAGGTGAAACGGTCTGTGGCCTGATGGACCCTCACTGTGAGTTTTTCATCTGTTTTTACAAGTAAGTCTGCACATCACATGCTTCCTTCTTTCTTTCCCCGGACAGATACCGTCTTAATGAATACTGTCCGTATTATGCCTGCAGGTGGGGAGAGCTACGGTCTTTTTGTCTCAGCAGCAATGACTATTATCATCCAGCCCCCCAAGGTCAGCTTTACCCTAAATCCTGAAGGAAAATCCACCTCAACTCTGCAACCACTCAACAAAACTGAATGTAGGAAAGGGGCTTCGGACTTTACAGGGAAAGGGACAGAGCTGTGTACACACGGGCACTCTCTCCTCCTGGCACCAGGCTCAAAGCAATTCTTCCACCTCCTAACTTGACACGAGAAAATGGTCCCTGGAGCTGGTTTAGTCTATTGGACCCTTCCTGCTGGGAATGCAAAGTCCAGAAACCATGTCTCGAAACACGACTTTATCACAACAGACTCTTGTGATTTTGCCCCTTTAGCCGATACGTAGAACTGCCTCTTCTGAAATCCCAAGAGAACACACTCTTTTCCCAGTCATTCCACTGCCGTGTAGACATTTCAGCTGCTGCTAGACGTGGTGTGTGCCCGGAAGTTCCTGGTGGGGGTTTCCCGGCATCTATGGGGGTAGTTCTTCTTCTGAGTTAAAGGCAACTTCTTCAAATTATTTTATAAAGTGTATCATGGTGGTCATTATTTGTTACTTTTCAGTCTCCTTTTTCCTGCTGCACCCTCCCCAACAGGAACTGTGCTTTGTGCCAACAGAGGGGTGGGCAGGACTGGGGACGGATGTAGAGAATAATAAGGCAGGGACTGGGGAGGGGGTGAGCGAGTGGAGCCAACTGCGGGTCCCCTCACACGGTGCTGAATGCAGTGGCGAACCTCCCCTGCAGGGACACTAGTGGGACTTGGCATTTAGAACCTACTGCCTGTGGGGAAATCAGTCCCACTTTTTGGAAAAGTGGAACAGTTGAGCTTATGCCACATAAAAAGCCATTTGTGAAGACGCCAATCTTTGCTTCCCATTCCTAGGTCATGTCACCTCTCTGACCGATGCCTAGAATGTTCGCTTCCTTCATATTTTTATCTAAGAGCTAAGAGATTTTCAAGATGGCATTTACCTCTTTATCATCATGACGCCTCCGAATAAATTCTTCCGTGGATTCCAAATAATCAGCAGGTATAAAATGTCTTGGTGATTCTGAATCTTCAAAACAACAAAGTAGAATTAAAACATGCAAAGATTTAGTGGGAAACCAGACTGGGATAAGATTTCACCCTTCAGCCACTATCAATATCAAGTTTTTACTGTCGTGGATTATTGACCAATGCTCAAATTCTGAAGAAGAACCAAATCCCACCCTCCCCCCCACCCCGACTTTTTGGATGTACTTGTAAGCCAGTTTAATACAAAGCAAACTCATCAGAAGGCAAAAGGTGAGCGGATAGAGGACCTTCTCTGAAAAGTGTCCCTCCTAAGAGGCGTGCAGGATCTTACAGGGACACACCATACACTCACACACACACAGGGCCACTGGGAGAGGCTGCCTCTCAAAAAACCGCGGGGTGACTGTGGATTGGCGTGAACTCCAAGGGGTTCAAGAGTTCAAATGGACGAATTTCTCAGCTGAGCTAAACGGCCAATTTTTCTTTCGAAACAGAGTTTGGTGGTTAGTCTAAATGACATGGGGGGCTTTGTTTTTAAAGAAGTGCAGCCACTACGAGCCATGATTAATTGCCAAGCAAAACAAACGGAAAACAAAAGACAGACCAGAAAATGAGCACCGAGGGCACACGGAAAGAGGGGACAGAGCAAGCAAGGTGGAGAGACGGGTGAGGTGAGACTGGGCAAGTACACAAATGCCACCTCCGAGGGATGTTCCCAGTTCACTGTGTGGGTTGTTGTTCCTGTCCAGGCCAGGGTCTGAGTACGGCATGGAGTTGCCATTATGAAAGGCCCTCAGGCAGTCCTCTGGGACTGCGGGTCTCCCCTGAGGGGGCTCCGAGATCCGGCTCAGCCTCGCCATGGTGTGTCGGGAAGACAGGCGTCTGGGAACCGAGGGCTTCCCCCCAGAGGGGGTCTCGTCCTGATGGGGCTGGCTGGGCAGGTCTGGCTTCGGGCCGGCCAGGGGGGCTGAGAAGTCACCAGGGGGAGGCTGCCTGGGGTGGTATTGGAGGGGCTTTTTCAACCGGAAAGGGAGGGGGCTCATTAGGTAGATGTTCCTGAGGAGTGTGCTCCTGTCCCCCCTGAGATCTGGGCGCCAGTCGGGCTGCCTGGACGTCTGCCGCTGCTCGTGCTTCCGGATGGTGGTGAAGCGGGTGTACGAGGCCGGGCAGGTGCCCTTGCACTTGGGGAGGCGGTGCTTGGGAAAGTCTCCGTGGACACTGCTGCTGCTGCCCTCCCTGCTGTCGCTGGAGATGTTTGAACAGTGGTCCAGCTCGTCAGAGCAGGCAGAGAGGGGCTCAGAAGGCACGAGGCCCCTGAAGCCCAAGGTGGGTTCGGCCATGTTGCTACACGTCGGGGCGGCATAGAGCCCCCCCGGGTTCATCCCGTCTATCTCCCGGGGCCGGAGCTTGGTTGACTCCAGGAGGGATTCAGCCGAGCGGGCTGAGGTCAGGCCACTCCGGGACAGCACAGGCGTGGGGGACTTGCTCAGCCTCCCGGACAGGTCCAGGGACGGCATGGACCGGGACCGCTGAATCAGCTGCTCAAACGCTGTGATGCGGGAGGAGACGGTGTGCTTGGGGATGTGCTCCGAGCCCTCCTGGCTGGGGCCCAGCTCGCCCCTGGCCAATGCCAGGCTGCTCCTTTCGAAGTGGGAGGCAAGATCTCGCACGCTCGAGGAGGAGAGGGAGCCCAGGAAGAGGCCGGCTCGGTTGATCTGGTGCATGTCCCGGTAGAACATAGTGAACTGCATTCCGGCCTTTCTGGAGAGAGGGCAGGGCCTCCTGGCGCTGGTGCCACACTCCTGGAGGCTCACGGTGCTGCTCGACTTGCTGTCCCACTCCCGCCGGGAGCGCGTGAGCAGGTTCTCGATGCTCCCCCCTACTCGGAGGGGGAGACCTCTTTTGGAATCATTCAAAGACAATGAAACACAAAGGTTCTCACAGCTCTGAGCCTTTTCTGCCGGCAATAAGACGCTCTTCTGTTCCTGCAAAAGAGCGCTGGGAGCAGAGAGCCTGGGTTTGAATTTGGAGGGAAGGATTTCCGAAATGCAGGCTTTTGCAGCGGACAGGGGTTTCTTGTGCTTACACACAGGGCCTAATGCATTGCTAGTGCTAACCGTTCGGCTAGGAACTGAAGATGAAGAAATCATGTGAGCATTCCCACCTTTACGATCCACTGGAAAGCATGCAGAATAAAATAAACAGACCCATTAGGTTAAAGCTGAAAGCTGCTTAAAAAGAAAATAAAAGGAGAGGTCACATGCTCATTTGTCATAAGGGTTTTTTTTTTTTTTTTTTTTTTTAATTTCCAGTCGATGTCTGGAAGCAAAATAATCTGTGCTGCAAAGCAGGAGCAAAGATGCAACGAAAAATGGCCACCCTGCTAGAGTTACGAAGGGTTAAGGCTCAGCTATGTCCTAAGAAAAGGGAATCAGAACAAAAAAGAGAGAGATGCTTTAGGGAGAGCAAGGTTGGGGTTCAAAGGAAGGGAAAATAATACCAGAAAGAAAAATGGCCGGTGAAAAACTGGGGGAGGGGGCTCAGAGGGCTCAAAGGCCTGGAAATGGACCTGCACCAGGCAAAGGATATCCCAGTAGCTGGAAGTCACCTGCTGCCGACACCCCGACACTGGGCCTGGATGGGCGAGAGGCATGTGGAAAACCGTGCAGCTGGGCCGGAGCCCCACAGGCTTCACCCAGTTACCTTTAGTGGAGGCTGAGCTGGAGGGTCGCTTGAGCCCACTCAGGCCCTGGAGGGGGATGTCTCCACCTTCCAAGACGCTTTTGTAAATCTGCCTCTCGTTCTCCAAACTAGCGAGATCCCCGGGAGCCCCGTCTGATTCCCTCTTCACTGCGTGGAAGTTGGAAGAATAGATACTAAAGACAATGTAATTTTAAAAGAGAGAAGAGAGAAAAGGAACAGGACTTAGAATGTTTGACATTTTTCTCAAAAGCACATTACCACCTGCGGACAAGAGGCACACTTTTTGGCATCCTAATCAAGCACTGTCCTTTCTAAAGGGTATTCTTATTTAGTTAGAGTTCTTCGAACAAGACAAGCCCAAGGGGGGGCCCCAAATGCTCAGGAATCTGACCAAACAGCAAAAGTGCTGAGATGACTGCATCTGCGCTTTAAAAGAGTAACTGAGAAACTCGGCCTGGGGAGGGTAGGCTGGGAGGGGGTGGGGAGGGGTGGGTGGCTGCTGAGGGCCCAGCAGCTGCACACAAGATGACACAGTCGAGGACGTGAGTGGAGCCTCTGACAGGTCGCCTACCAGAGTTGGTGACTTCAAGTTCACCACTTGGATTATTTTTCTGGATTATTCTTCACAAGCACTTTGGCTAACGGAGCATTGAAGTCAACTGTTCTCCTGGGTCTCCAGGAAAATCAGCCACCAAGTGAAAGTGGAACCCGGGATTCTATATGCTGTTATCATCCCAGCCACATGTTACACCAGCTTCTTTCAAAATTCCTAGTCAGAACCTTATGACATGTAACAGGAGTATAAACGTGGCTCGTTTACATCTTTCATTTATTTTTATCTTGTTGAAATTCTAGGTATTTTTGCAAGTTACCACAAATCCTTTTAGGAATGAGGTGGGGCACAGAAAAAATTAAGAGCACTTACTCACTGAGCCCCTCCCTTCTCCTAATCCCAGTTTTCTACGCCCTCACCCACTGACACACGGAGACACACAGACACGTACTCAGATAAGGGAACGACCCCCTTCCCACAGAAGTACTCAGGCCTCTGCTTGGCTGCTTTTTGGTCTTACTGAATTCGGTTTACTGGTATCAACATGGATTTTTTTTTTTTTTTTAGCTCTGGAGATGTAAATAGCTTGATAGAATTTCTCTATCCCAATATTTTATGATGAGTAGTATCAAGTGTACATAAAAACTTAAGTAATTATCATAGTGAACCCCCACATATTCTGGGCCCCCAGACTGGACACAGAACTCTGGGCTTCCTCTGCTGTATCACACATCTTCCAATCTCTTTCCCTCTCCCCATCCCTCCATGATGGGATTATTCCTACATTTCACATAGCCTCTCGGTCGCCATAGTCACAGATAATGGCAGCAACAACTCTACTAAACGTGCTGCGATGTCCTATGTGGGAGGCTTGACGATCCTTCGTTCTTTAATCCTCACAAACAACCCTACTATCCCCATTTTTAGACGAGGGAAGGAGGCACCAAGAGATCAGGGCACTGACTGGGGAACGGCAGAGCCGGAACTTGAGCCGCATCGTTGGGCACCACCCCGCACCCCCAGCCGAGCATTTCCCCACGAATGAGGAGGCAGTGCCTCCCGAGAGCCCAGGCGTGCACACTGCAGGAGGCCCAGGGATGCTCGAGCCCTGCCGTGAATGTACCCCGGAGCCCAGGAGTCAGAAATGGAAAGGAGGAGGAGCCTCTGGTAGAACAGGCAATGTGTCCACCCCCAGGGAGGGAAGTTCCCTGAGCAATAGCACCACTTCCAGCCCTCAGCAGCCAGCACTTCCTAGCCCCTTCCCATGTGCCCACCCTGCCTTTCAGGGCTTTGCATCCTCTACTTCAGGGGACTGCCTGGGAGGTTGGGGTTCCCCCCCACCCCGGTCCCTTCTCCTCATTCTCTCTGGCCTACGTCAGGGGATCAAATGATTTCCCCCTCTTCCCAGCCTAGACAGAAGAACATTACTGAAAATTTAAGGGGAAAGAAAACCAACTCATAAAGCTGAGACCATAAAACCATGTAACTGAACGCAGTCGGCACAGCAGCCTCCAGGGTGTCTCAGAGGGGAGAAACCTCCAGAAGGGGCATGATGGGGCAAGCCTCTTCCCCCCAGGCCGTGCCCTTATCTGCAGGGGCCCACGAAAGGGTCCATGAGTATACCCAATAAATATTTGTTGAATGAATACGAGGTCACATTTTCTGAATGTAAAATTGGCACACATGATCTGATTAAGGAAATGCTTTGATTCATGAAATGTGTTTACAATTCTTCCGTAAGTATAAGAATTTCATCACATTCACTTAGGCTCCTGATGTTAGTGACTATGGAGCCCTCAGAACGGCGGAAAGAGAGAGACTACGGGGAATTAGCATGGCCCAGGCCTAGGCTGGCTGGCCTTACTGGTGCCCTGGCTCCTGACCGGGGGTGTCCACTCCCACCCTGCAGACAGAGGCCTCGGGACAAGGGCTGCCACCCACACAGTTTTTGCTCTACCTGTAGGGGTGCTTGAAGATGTCCCCCCAACCTTCTGATTGATAAAAGCATCAACCCCAGCCAGAGGGCAGGAGGACCCTGAAAGGTGACTTGCAAGGCTGTGGCACTATATGCCAAGTTCAGTCAATGTAAGCTCATCTAAACGGACTTTAACTTTGAATTTTGTAATTAAAAATAAATCTGCCCCTCTTCTCAGTTTCCCTTTCAGAGCCTGCCTTCACTTTGGTTGCATTTTCCGGTTCTGTCCTTCAGTTTAGCCCCATGTTGCTCCTTTTTATACAATCTCAACTTCTAAAAGGTCCGTGTACAGGTGTCCTTTAGCCTTGCCAACCAACTGCAGTGGTGAGAGGACAGTCTCTTAGGCCCTGTTCGCCCTGGTTTGGGGTCACTAGACCGCCCTCAGCACTGGGGAGGGACTGCCAGAGGCTTCTATCCTGCTGTCCTTTGAACTGCCTCAGCCTCGGTCAGAAACTCCAAGCCGGTCTTCTCTGGTTCCACCTAACGTCATTTGGTCATGACTCTCGCCACACCCAGCTGCCTGATTTCACACCTCCCCGACCTCACAACCTGTCAGAAATCCCCTCCTGCCCTCAGCCACTCCACTTTCTGGCTTTATTCCACCCATTATCACCATTTTGTCCTGCTTCCCCACCAGAATGACAAACCAGCACTCAGGAAATCTATCAGAATGGATTTGCTATAGCTAATTGTTTTCTTTCTGATACTGAAGCCAACATGCTTTTTCCAGATGGGCAACACTTCCCAACTGAGGCCCTCCTTGGTTAAAAACACATCTACAAGCTCTGGAACAATGTTTTCAAATGTATCTTCACCATCACATCTCCTAATGTTGGAAAGACAGATACCATTTGTCCTGTTGTACCAAAGGGAAACTGAGGACCAGAGTGCTGAAGGCAATTGTCGAAGGTTGCAGTGTTGCTGGGTCTCTGCCATGTTCAAAGAGATCAGATGGGATGAGCAAAGCAGCAGGGCTGATGAGCAAAGCCCAATCAGCATTGGCAGCTACGACCCCGTTAACAGAACAAGCCTAGTTAAGCACCGGGGCCCAGCTCTTAGCAGCCTGGGCTGAGCCAGTTTCCAGGTCAAAGACAGTAGGCTGGAGGACACAGCCCAGACAACTCGCCCTCTGGCTAAGATGCAAAGGGGGCCGAGTTTCAAGGGGATTCAACAAAAACACACTCACTGGAAGAAGAAAGGGAGAGAGAATGGAGTGATCCTCTTAGGGTCAACAGTTTGCAACCCTGTAACCAGATGGGCTCCGGAGGACTCCAGCCTGACTCCAACGAGCAATGCGCATCAGCTAAGGATAACCTACTCTGTTTGAAAAACTTAGAAACAATCTGTTGCTCAAGTTCTTTCATCTGTAAAACCAATAGGTACGATAAGACTGTCCAAGAAATCCACCTTCAAATCTGTTATTATACAGACCTTCCTTTTGAGCTCCAGATGCATACATTCAACTGCCTTCTAGACACCTCCACCTGGGTATTCCTCAGGCATCTTAAACTCCACATGCCCCAAACCAAACCCAGCTCTGTTCCTGTCTCCCATGGCCCAAGCCAGAAAGCCCAGGGAATCAACCCCTTTCTCCCTCTCCTTGCTCCCCAAGCCTAACCAGTCACCAAGTACTGCTTACTCCCTGTCCTGACACAGTGTGCATCAGTCCCTTCCCTCGAACTCCCCGGCCACCACCTCACCATTGCTCACCTACACCTCTGCAGTAAGCACACCCTCACTCTTACCTCTTCAGCCTTGACTCGCTCTGATCATCTCTGCAAATCACTGCCAATGATATTTCTAGAAAAGATCTCACGAGGTCATTCCACTGCTCATTTTATTCACTCAAATATTTACTGAGCACCTATTAAGTGTGAATCACTCTCCTAGGTAGAGCTTCAACAGTGAAAACAACAGACAAAAAATTCCAGCCTCATGGAATTCACTGTCCAAAACCATTTGTTGTTTTCAGCAAGGAAAAAAAAAAGTAACTGCTTTAAACCATGGCTTTGGGGAAAGAAGTCTAGGAAATCTGGGGAGGGCAGTTTCATCTTTAGCCTCTGTACTGCAGGAAGAAAATGATCTTTTAGATTTATAATATGTGATTGTCATTCCTTCTCTCCTGGGTCCCGTCACTGCGTTTACCATACTGGATTCTAACTGTGATTTACAAGTCTGTGTCCCCATTATACTCTGAGCCCCTTGAGGGCAGGCGGTTTATCTTATTAATCTTTGCATGCCTAGCGCCTAGCACTGCTTTTCAATAAATATTAGTAGAATAAATGATTCTATAAAATTAAATGCTCGCATGCAGATTTCTGAGAAATGAAAATTACATTTCATCCCATCTAACGTTTCATTTAGTTCTTCAGGTAATGATTTGTGTTTTGATCCTAAGTTAAAAGAAGGGTTTTTTGAGGAAAAATCAGCTTGTTCTTGAGCGCCACTTGCTGGCCAAATAGAGGAAAGCTCTTTGGTTAGGCAATAAAATGTATGATTGCTAATCCAAGCTGAAATGCCAACGATGAAAATGAGTAGTCTTCAGGGCTGATTTAAGATCTGATAACTCTAGGGAAATAAAATACAAAACTGGACACTGTGATTGCAAGCAAAAAAAAATATTTTTTGAGAGTAAGGACTGGTAGTTCTACTGGGATATTGGGACTCCGGGTAAATTTCTTCCTCTCTATACCCACATTGTTTTAACATTGTGATATATAATCATGGTAATGAATAAAATTCTAAAACTGCAAGTCTGTCCAAGATATGAAAATGGATTTAACACACTTCTCCAGTGACCACTTTTTTCTTTTTTTTTTTTAATTACGATGTTTTTGAACCTGAGCCATTCCTGCGTCTTCTCCTTCAATCCCTGGGGTTAAGTCCAGTCTTGCCAACGTTTTTTTTCTTCAATACGTCCTTCCCAACCATCCAGTGAGAGGAGCCCCATTCAGTCTGCAAGTTGCCAACCTCAGTGCTGAGCGCGTTGGATGCTAGTTAATTAAGACTCACAAGCTCATTCATTTATTCAGCAAACATTTGCTGTGCACTTCCCTGGGTGTCAGGCTCCCCACCAATTCCAAATACTGAAAACCTTACTTCCTCGTTTGAACAAGAAAACCCCGCCTGCCTTACTGAAAAATCTCCAACTGGAAGAATAGCAGGAGGATAAAACTTATCTTTTTCTGCTAAGTAGTTCATGAGAGCCAGGCTACGGCTAAAACACAGAGGTCTTTGGAGACCTATCTCAATGACATAAATAAGAGCGCTTGATAAATTAACCCAGCAAATATCTTTAGGTCCACAAATACTCAGAATGTCTGAAAGCAATTTGTTCTTTTAAGCAGTTTGCGTTCGGCCTCTCCGATCCTGCTAACGGTATTATACATAGTTACTTACACTGTTTTTTTAAATCACTCAAAACCAGTAAACTGTAGCATGCTTTCTGTGAATTTCCTGCCCCATTCTGAATCAGGACGGTGCAGACGAGACCTTATCGCTAACACCATCCCCTGGCCTAGAACTTCAGTGTCCCTCCTCCAGCTACAGCTCTGCCAGGTGCCAGCTGTGGAATCATGGGCATCACGCTGCCTTTACGGACCTGTTTCCTCACCTATAAAATGGGGATCGATCCTGGAATGAAAGGTGAAAGGACCGAATGAGGGAATGAACATACGATGGCTAACCGCAGGGCCTGGCACATAGTAAACGTCCAGCAAGTCACTGGGATTATTTCATTCAAGACCTGCATTCCTAACTATGACAGCCCATGGGTACTGCTTTCTCTTCTGAATACATTTATGATTTTCATTCTTATTTATTATATTTACTAACTTATTATACTGACTGATTACACCCCCGGGGGCCCAAACCTAAATACTTTTAATCCTTGGTCTCCTTCCTTCATTTGCCACTTTGCCTTCTCATTTACCAACATTTTTGGGGGGGGTGTGTTTTTGCTGCCAAAACTTCTAAGGGACTGTACCTTATGCTATGATAATACAGAGCATGGGCCCTAGATCCAGCAAGAACTCACCAAGTGAACTAAGGAATTCACTCAGCCAGCCACTGGAAGCAGCCTTTCCTGTCCCGCGCACTCTGAGGAGACCGGGAAAGGAAAGGGGGTTGAGGGGGGGAGACTAGGCAGAAGGGTTAACACTGAGCCATCCTGAAAACAGGATTGTAGGGGCAGGGAGAGATCTGGAGCAATCAGTGGGCAGTCAGGACTGTCCAAGTGACAAATAGGTGGCCTCAGGGACCAAGGAGAGTTTGCAGGGAGCTGTGGCCTTATTTACTTATTTATTTATTTGTCAGAGAGTGAGCGAGCAAGCACACACAAACAGGGAGAGCAACAGGCTCTCCATGGAGCAGGGAGCCCAATGTGGGGCTCGATCCCAGGACCCTGGGATCATGACTTGAGCCGAAGGCAGACACTTAACCACCTGAGCCACCCTGGCGCCCCCGGAGCTGTGGCCTTTATCTGCAGGTAGCCTAAGGTCATCTGGTGTACTTCATCTCTGAAAGCACATCTCTGGGGACCTAGAGGACCTGTGACTTGTTATCCTTGCAGCTGAAGGCACAGTTCAACTAGCTCTTTAAAGAGAATGAGCCTCAGAGCCCAGAGTGAAGGGAGATCGGGAAGATGCTAAATCTGAGCTTTGATGTCTGTCACACTGCTGGCCTGATGACCGACCCCACAGTAGGCAAAGACTTAATGCCTGGACTTTTCCGAAGGCGGACTGTCTCCTAAGGCAGGTAACTTCCCTTCTAGCTGCTGTTCTAATATATCTTCTCAATTTCTTCTTGCGCTGGGGTACATTAATCATAATCATTAACACACATATTTATAGAAAAAAATGAACAGAATGGATCTAGTGAGAGATTTGGTCACTAAAAGAATTAAGACTTTTCCAATTTGGGGGCGCCTGGGTGGCTCAATCAGTTAAGCATCTGCCTTCAGCTCAGGTCATGATCCCAGGGTCCTGGGATCGAGCCCCGCATCGGGCTCCCTGCTCAGCGGGGAGCTTCCTTCTCCCTCCGCTTCTGCCACTCCCCTTGCATGTGCTCTCTATCAGTCAAATAAATAAATAACATCTTAAAAAAAAAAAAAAGATTTTTCCAATTTTCCACTGAAATACCCTAATCCCAGCTGACTGACTTTCAAATGAAACTACTCTTGTTGAATTCATTCTTTGGCAAGGTAGGTAGGATATTCCCAAGTGACGACAACATTTGCCAAAAATTCCATAAACTCAGCATTCCGATCCAGCCAGGCTTCTATCTGAAGAGGTGGGTCTTGCTCATTGTGGGTTTACCCAACCCCAATGGAACAGGCAACAGTGGTGCCTTTGTCCCTCATCAGACTTCCAAGACTCAGATACAGATACAATGGTGACGAGAAGCTGTTTCCACCAGAACAAGCACCCAATTCCACTGGTGCACCGGCTACCCCAGAGAGGCAGCCCTTGCCTTCAGGGAGTTTCTAATTTATCAACAGTTATAAAAATACATGAGTATGATTCAGGTACCCAGCCACAGAAGTGCCATCAGAGGCCTTAACATTAAATTGGGTACAAGGAGGCTCAGGGCCTATTTATACGTGCTCAGAGCTCGCCATGTACTGTGTAGGAAAGGGGTAGGGGACAGCACCGAGACATTTCAGCTGGGATAATGGCCGCATGGCAAAGTACTGAGAAAAGTAATCCGTACAGGGCTCAGGATGGTCTGGAGAGGGGGAAAGAGGCTGGTGGCGACTCCATGAAGTGAGCAGAGTGTACACTTATCACCCAGGCAGAATCCTGATTGGTATAAGGAAATAAATCCACATTTCTCAGCATCAGTCAAGTCAGCCCCCTCTTGGCCCCATCTTTCCCTGTGACAGGTGCCACCCGAGGACCCACCCCACCATCCCCCACCTTTATGCCCAGCGCAGCCTGTCTCAGTCACACATCGCCTCCAAGAACCAGCAAATGAGGTGAGCTTGGATTCCAAACTCAGACGAACTCACATTCTAAAGGTAAAGATGCCAACACAGGAAAAAGCGTCTCAAAGGTAATAGGAGTCATCACAAAATTAATTTGGAGGAGGAGGAGAAAACAGAAGAAAAATAATTTGAGGACGATGATTAAATTGCTTACTTATCACTAAAGCCACAAGACTGATACAAATAAAACATACTCGGATCCAAAACACAAGCCTCTTCCCATCTCTGACATTAATACATCAAGCTACGTATGTGGTGGCAACTTACTATCCAGGAAGCTCTGAAGAAATTTCCGGGCTGGGGCTGACTGCCGAGCTCTGTAAATGTCAAAAAAAGAAAGAAAAGAAAAGAATGTAGATCATTGATTTTGCATCAGATGTTCCAAGTCAAGGGGGAAAGAGAGCAGCCCCTTTCCTTTCCTGATGTAGCCAAGGACCTTTGGGAGATGGGGCCCTTGGCCGGAAAGGTCTCAGTGCTGAACACTTTCTGGGCCAGTGGGTGCTCTTGCTCTCTGGGTGAGGTGGAAAATGGCCCCTTAGCTTAGACTTAGCTTTCATATAAATATAGATCCACGAGGTGGATAGCCCACCATCTGGCCAACATGCATTAGTGACATGGACAAAACACCGCCGTCATCAGCTGATCCCCCGTCCTCAGAGCCCCTGGCCAAGCCCACCAGAGACTCCTTCATGCACCCCGGATGCCACCTCCAGAGAGAGGGTCACCCAACACCTTAGGTACAGAAAATACAAAAAATGCATTTGAAAAGACCACACTGTGTTTAGATCATTTGTTCACCCTCCAGATTTAGAATGTGGAAATGGGGAGAAATGCAGTTTCACAAAACCTAGGAGTGGGGGAGCATTTTATAAAATGACAGGCCATTATGCAAAAGAGAGAAAACAACCAAGAGCTACATGCAGAGAAAAGGCAATATAATTAAGTAGTTTAAGGTTTCTGTTGTCTTGGAGAAAAAAAAAGGCAAAGGGCTCAATATATTTTTTAAAAAAATAATGTCGTAGTTGAATAAATCGATGAAAAGGTTAACTTTTAAAAGATACTCCTATCTCTAATAATAATCCTTTCAAGGAAAAGATGCTATCTGGAAAAGAGATATTGGGGGAAAGGAGAGAAACAGCAGGAGAAAGAAAAGGAAGATTGTCCAAGGGGGAGGAGAGGACGGGAGGGGAAGCAATCTTTATCGGGGCTCACCCACCTGGTCCTCTACCTGCTGAACACCCACCCTCAACCTGCTGGGTCCTCTCACTTTGGAGGGTGGCTCTGCCCCAGCATGAGGACTCTCCCCTCCCCCACTCCCAGTTGCCCACCATTATTCCTCAGAGAAGGCACCCCTCTTGCCCGTTGTCTCCTGCCCATCTCCCACCTCGGCACCTGTCCTATTCTGGGTCTTCACCCACTTTGAGGATGATGCCCTGGTCTCCATCTTGGAAAACTTTTGTGTGACCCTGCAGAGTCCTCTGGAACACCCCCCGCCCCTTCCTTCCACATTCACATGTTTTCAACAGTGCTGTACCCCTGGGGGATCCCCAGATGCTTCCCTACCCTCTAGCTCCCAGCAACCTCTAAGGTTTTTAGAAACCTCTGGGTCATCAAATCCACTGACCTTTCCTCAGAGTCTACTTTCGGGGACTTCTCTGGAGCACCAGGTAGTTGTCATACTTTCTCTTCTTGTTCTACTACTCACTTTTCCTCCTTCTTCTCTGAACCGTTCACCCTCTGATCCTCCCCTTCTTCCCCTGCTCCATGTCATCCAACACCCCAGTGGGGAGTTACTGCTCTCGTCCTTCCTGTCCTTCAATCTTCCATCTGCTCCTAGGACTTCAGCCTTCATTTCTCTTCAGGTGACTCCAACTGACTTTGTAGGCCCCTTCCTCTCTTAGGAGACATAGTCTTATATTTCCAGCTGCCTACTGGATATGCCTAGGTGATACCCAGCCAATTCTTCAAGAATGAATCACCTAAAACTAGCTCCATCTTACCTCTCCACGGATTTTCTCCCCATCTTTCTTAGGTGACATACTGATGTCCTCAGCTTCCAGCTTCCTGGCCAAAACCCTAGAGTTGTTTCTGTCCCTATTCCATCCCCCAATTAGTTCTTCACACCAATTAGTTAAAAATGTCCCATTGCAATTTCCTCTCTGAGCACTCCCCGCCTTCATGCTCATGCCACTGGAGTGTGGGCTCTCATCACTCCATGCCTGGACCACCACACTAGCCTCCCTGCCCTCTGCACCTCCAACTGGAGGTTCTCCTTTCAACCCAGCCTCTCTAGAGTGAGGATGCCAGCCTTCCTAAAACAACTCCTGAACCACATCATTGGGCTGTGCACAAAATCATCTCCTAACTGTATTTCTGAGCCTCTATAATCCAGGGTCAACCCCCTTGCCTACACCTACCCATCACTACTACCACCCCCAATTTTCTATTATAGCTGAATCTTCTACTTTATTCCTTGAATACATGCTAAACACGATCACTTCTGTGCTCCTTTTGTGCCTCACATGGATGCCCCCTATTTCTACCACGTACCTACACTGCACCCAGCCTTTAAGGTCCCGGCCAACTCCCCTGAGAAGTCTTCCCTACTTTTCCACAAGATCACCCTTCCTCCTGGCACTTAGAGCCCATACCATTCTTTTAGCTCTTCGCAGGCACTGCTGTGTACTGTTGGAGATCTTTTATGAGTGTGCCTAAACGGTCATGTTCCTGAAGGCAAATTTCATCGTTTTTGCCGGATTTAGAGCCTCTCTCAGCATGTCCCATACCTATTAGGGACGCATGGGGAACATGTAACTGAACCAATGTGAAGATGACTCATTCATGCATCAGACCCTTCTTGGTGCCCACCTTGGCCTGGGCAGGGGTTCAGGTACTGGAAGCTGTCTCTGACCTCAGGGAGGCCTCAGTGAGTTCAGTAATTCTCCAGCTGCCCCTCCATCCTTGCATGTGTTACAGGGCTGCTCTTATTAGACTACTTTGAAAAGGGACCCCTGACTCATCTTATGACCTATAATCTTAGCACTCCGGTCCTACCCCGGAGCACTTTAGGACTTACCTGCCGTTAGTTCTCACTCTTGAACTAGCTCAGACCTTCCATCCCACAGTGGCTATAGCTGGTTCCAGTCTCTGCCCTGGTTGAAACTGAGCATCCCCTTACCCTGCTCCACGACCTATCTGCTTTGACTGTGTGCACCGTGGCTCAACTTCATGCCTCCCCAAAGTTCTGAAGAGGGGCTGGAACCCCAGGTTCCTTGATTGGCCTGCAGTTCCTCAGCGTCTGACCTTATCTCAGCCCACCTTGGCTGCTGCCGTAACCCCCTGGTTCTTCACTCCTTCCCTGGCATGAGGGTCCAGCACTCAAGACTTTTCATAACCTGAGTCGCTCATGCTGGAGGTCTGACCCTCCTTGTCTTAGTTCTGCTTAAATAGAACACGATCCATAGCATTTTCCACTTTTCCTGTCACAGTCTGTGGACCTTCCTAGCCTCTTCAGCAGTGTCTGCCTGCCTTTTTTATTTTCTGTAAAGATACCCTTTCCTTGTAAGAGTCCTTTTTGTTTTGTCAGGGAGCCCTGGGGGTGGTTCTCCAAATACTTGGTATTTTTCTTCCCCTTGGGAACCTGTTTACCTTGGACTCTCTCTCTGACATAGCCTTCAATAAGCCACATTTTGACATAGTCCCCTCTAAAAATGTCAATACAGGTTGAGTTTCAAATGCTTGTTCGTGGCCAGGCTGTCTGGTCTCTAGAGTGCATTTTTTCATTGAGGGAACTTTCTGACCCTTTAAATGACAAATACAACTACTCTGCCAGTACATGCCATGCATGTAAGAGGCACTCAAATCACCGCCACCGTGTTTCTGAAAGTGATCTCTGAGGTTGGTATCTCCCAGGGCTGCAAAAAAAAAAAGACAAGGGAATTGCTCCCAAAAATGGCTCCTGGAAAATCTGGAGCAGGTATACGGAGGCAAAGGACGGGAAGTTATAAGGGTCCCCTCCCGAGAGCAGAGAAAGAGAATGACAAGGGGGTGGCGTCGTTTAAATCAACAGCCACCCTGCATATATTTGAAAAACTCCCTTTAAGGAAGATGCCAAGCTCAAAAGAAATCCAAGCAAAAATTAGCTTGGGGGGGCGGGGAGAGGAATCGAAAATAGGAGTCAGAAAGCCATGCAGCTTATAAAGACCCAGCATAATCATTCATTGCCTCGACTACATCGAAACCCGAGAGCAGAGAAGAAAACAAAACCAAGCTGGAAGAGAAACCGACAGCATGAGAAAAACTAGGAAATACCTGGGACAGGTTTGCACTGGGTGCTTTATTAAGCGTCTCCGTGTTTCCTAAGTGTGCCTCTAACTCTGCTGGGCAGAGGTTGAGATCTTTTTCTAGATTAGTCTGGTTCAAGAAAGAAAAGATGGGAAAGAATGTTTTAGTTTAAAGGACAGGCAGAAAGAATGGAAAGTTAAGTTTGAAAAATGAATTTGTTTAGTACTAGGGCTTTAATAAGGCAAAGATGGCATGACCGAACACAAGAGCTCACTAGAAATCAGGTGAAGACGTGAAAACAGAGAATGCAACATTAGGCAGAGAAAATATAAATCCTGAAGTCACCAGAGCTTCAAAAGTCTATTCTACTTGCTAGAGAGAACTACAAATACCACGGAAACCTACCTTTCGCGAGAGACCTATATTTTTCTCTTTTCAGAGTATAGTGACTGTGACAAATAGGATATGTCAGGAGAATAAGGCATTGCTTTAAAAACCTCTCAACATTAGTAGAAGTCGTAGAGACTTTGTTAAATAGCTTTGTCACCAAGCCAAAAGAAAAAAACAAGTTATCAAGTTAAAAAAAAAAAGTGATTTAAGAAAATAAAAGAAAAAAAGAAAAAAACCCACAACACACTCACACTAACCAGGATAGAGAACACACACACAGCCCACGGAGGAGGCACAGCAGAATTACCTTTCTATCCTCTCTAGGAAGGATAGAGCAGTCTCCAGGAGTATAATCCCATATCTTTTTGGGAGGCTGACGGGAAGCAGAGGAGGAAATGAAGAAATGAGCATAAAGACATAAAGACAAACATGGAGACTGGCTCAAACAAAGAGGGGCACGCTAGGAGAACTGTATCAACACGGAAAAGTGAACTCAAAGCACAGGGAGTGGGCACTCGGCCTCCTGAGGAGGCTGCCCAGGGAGGGATTCTGCAGAATTTAGGAGCTGGAAACATTAACTGGGAAGTTTCTATGTCTACATCTCAAGAGTAAGTCATTGTTGGATTCTAAACATTGAAAAAGTAAAAAAAGAAAACAGAAGGAAAAAGAAGCATTAACACCAATTTGAACAAAAATCAAAACTTTAAAATTCCTCATTTTTTTTTTTTTTAATTGAAGCATAGTTGACATACATCCTCACTGTTGTTTTCAAACTAAGATTGACACCGAGATTCTACATTTTTGAAGCAGTCTACTCCAAGGCAAAATTCATCATGTTTAATAAACGTGTGACTTGGGAGATTTGGCCAGGGGAGGGCAAATTTAACCAAAATGTGCTTTCTGTGGTTTGTGGCAATGAAATCCAGATACAAAATGGGTGTTCAATAAATGCACTGTGTAACTAGATAATTCCACTAGACAACACTTAAATCTCCGTTTACACCTTAACCAGACTTTGATAATACTGCTGGTGGTATAGCCATCCCTTCCATCTGCCTTAGAGAACGGTTTATAATTTGAATTTGAACAGCGGGACTGTAGTATTATGTTTTTCTCCTTTAACTCTAAGTTAGGATGAGAGCTGCATTCCTAAAACTGCCAGGAGAACTGTGAATTTAACAAGGGAAGGGTTCGGAGAGTAGGACATCTGGAAGTTACAAGCCTCCTGTAATCCTTGAACCTCTCCCCCACCAACTAGACCTTCTTGTTCTGTCTATTTAGACCTGAAATATCTTATACGATGACCCCTGAGAAAGATGAGATCATTAGTACCTCCTGGAATTTTGTGCAAATATCATTGTAACTCTATGCAAGCATTCAAATTGGTTTACATTGTGACATTTTGCCTTGAGCTTACTTCTAGAAATCACATGGTTTCTGCAGAAATTAGAGGGGGGAAATAACATCCAGACTCTTAGTAATGAATCTGCAATTTGAATCCAAGGGACTTAGTAATGAATCTGCAATCTGAATCCAAGGGACTTTCATCACTGACAGGGTTGGGTCAGTAATGCCATCTCTGTATATGTATACTCTGCAATTTGTAAAATAGTGCTATTAACAATTACCATTCATCTTTAAGCGCTTACTACACTTGAACTCTTCCCCGGGAGAAGTAGACTTTTTTACAGTCACTTAGGATACCTATTCATTTCTTTCTTTACTGCAAAAAAAATAAGGCAGTGCTTACAAATTAAATTGGTTTTAAATCCTTCCAAAAATGATCCTGGGAGTCTTGAATTATTTGATATTCTACAACAACGTATCGGAGCTAAAAGCTACTACAGCCAGGATCGTGCTGCAATTTCAGCTCATTCTGGGTGGTGGGCTTTAAGTGCAAGAGTTGAGGAAGAAAGGAGTTCGGGGTAAGTGTCTAGTGTCCAAGTTCTGGCAGGCTTCACTTGGGGGAAGTGGGTCCTGAGTTGGTGTGGAATAAAAAATAAATAAAAATGATGATCCACGTGATTCGGTAGGAGTTTTAATTTCATTCTGCTTCTGAATGACTGAAAAACCTTCCAAAACAATTTCCGTGGTTTACACCACTTTGATTTATCTCTCTTATTTTTATTATAGCCCAGAGTGATGATGGTAGGACAGAAATGAAGAAAAAATTTCTCCCTACCACACCTTCTTCCCCAACTCTGGCCGTAAGAGGCAGTCATCAAATTGGTTCAACCGGATGATAAGCTCACCCTTAGGATGCTTCTGACCATGAGGAACGGTTCATCTTGACACTGTTCCTCAGGATATGGGCACTGATTAAGTTATTTGGGCAAGTCTTCCACAGTATTATCTTTTACTACTTTAAAAGACCCACTCAAATAGTCTCATTTAAGAAGGACTCTAAGGTCTCTGCAAGGAACATCATGGCTCAGAGGAAATGGCATTTTGGAAAAGCACCATTAAGTCTTTAAATAATTAAGAGGCAGTTAGAACAACAGAGTAGGGACACCAATTCTAGGAAGGTCCCACTACACAAATGGACTGTGTTCTCAACATTTGTTTGCATTTGGTTGTGCGGTGCTCAGACCATGGTTTCCAGCAGAAACAGTGTTTAATCTACCAGGCTGTTCACAGAGCCGATTTAATGTACGCTGGGACTGAAACACTGTCCTTTGCTAACAAATATGGAATTATTTGCAATGACAGATTCAGTAAAACAAATGAATTACAGTATAAAGATTGTTTCATATCTTTCCCTAAAAGTTAATATTTCAGATGAAACTAAATTAGTTATTTGGCAAAGGAGAAATGGCTAGAAATGTGTGGATTCTGAGAAGGCTTTGCAAAATCAATGGCACGGACTCTTTATTGTACATAATTTAAAACTGATAGCTTTTTGCTTTCCCTGATGAAAGGATAGCATTATTATTATATATACCAGTCATGGTCTTATTTTGTTTGTTTGGCAGAGGGGGGAGGGGACCACACAATTCAAAAGTAGCTTTTGTTGTGAGATAATTGAGCAAGTTTTAAGAAAAAGAAAAGGGTCAAGATACTGTTCAATATTTGAGTGTGGAGAAGGTTGCCTGAGGTAGACTTCTTTGATGTCTGGATGGTAAATAAGAAAAAGGGAGAGAACAGAGAAATGAGGTATGCACCACAGATCTGGGGAGAGAAGGTGGTGCAGACTTCAGGTTAGACACGTCCCTCTGCACTGGTCACTAGGTGGCGCTGTTCATTTAGGACAGCTCAGGAGGAAAACGTTCCTACCAGCAGGAAGTTTGCAAGTCAGGTGCTCCTAACTCAGAAGACACCTCAACTTTCTAACAAAGCTCAGCCTTACTGAATCAAACTAGAAATTCCACAGCACCCGCTTCATTTCTCTTTGTCTTCATCGTAATGAAAAAGTTTCACACGAACATCTAACAAAATGTCTTATCTTTATACACTTAACTTCCTCCACCTGTAAATTCTTTTTTGCAGCTGTAATAAGACTTTAAAATCCACACATTTCTAGCCATTTCTCCTTTGCCAAATAACTAAATTAGTTTCATCTGAAATACTAACTTTTAGGGAAAGGTATGAAACAATCTTTATAGTGTGATTTGTTTGTTTTACTGAATCTGTCATTGCAAATAATTCCATATTTGTTAGCAAAGGACAGTATTTCAGTCCCAGCGTACATTAAATCAGCTCTGTGATCAGCCTGGTAGGTTTAAAGTCAGTTTCTAGTCCTCTCCAGTGGAAAAATGAACTCAACTCTCCCTTCTGTGTGATACACCTTTGGGTTCAGGGCTAAGAAAATCCTCCTGTAAGTGCCAAAAATCAGTTGTGCCAAGGCAACTCAGTGACATCACAGGGAAATTCTAGTAAATATAGCATTCAGCCTAACTCCCATTTCAAATTTTGGGAAATATTACACTAACTCATAGAAATCATTCTCCAAAGCCACCTATAACAGGGATGCATTCGTGGATGACATCTACATACAGAGGCTGTTTGGGGCACTTCCTTTGCATATGTACTTAAATCTTTTTAAAGCAGTAACAATGCTGCTCCTCTCAGTGTGTAATGCATTTTCCTGCTTTATCTTCAGTTTGCCAGAAAGACTCTGGTTAAGTAATTGAACCAATGGACAAAATAATGCCAGCTACAAGATATGTGATATTTGTTTCTAGTGCAATGATTTAGTCTTGTTTCTCTGTGATTTTCTCGCAAGAAGTAATTCCAGGGCTCACTGTCCTTTCTTGGTGAAGTAAAGTGCGGGAAAGCTTACACGTTGTAGTGAGAAGAGACAATCCCACGATTGCCCACTGAAATGGCTGCCCCCCACTTCCTGCATTCCTTACAAATAGATCTGATTCTTTAGCAGCAACAATGCACCAACAGCATTATTTAAAAAGGTGTCTATAACCACTGAAGCTATTAAACTTACCGGTTTCCCAAACTCCAATTCCGAAAAGAATTTATACCAAGGTTCATTCTTTAAATCTATCTCTTCTGGGCTTATATCCCGACTCTATAGGGGTTGGTGACAGGGAAATGGAAGAGAGAGAAGGATAACATTACGCAGAGGTTACATAGGAACAGGCCAGTAGAGATGCAGTGGTTCCCAGGGATATACAGAACTGTATCCAACAGCAGCAATCATCCATTTTACGGACATCAGCAAAAACAAGGAGCTACAACAGGCGGGAGGGGATGTGTTTAGAAAAGCAGGGAAACGGAGGCAGGGGCAGGGAGTAAATCATCCTCAGCCCTGAGGCAGAAGGCACACGGGCCATGGATGGAGAATTCTGCACCGCACCGCTGCCCTCCACGACAGATCAGAATATGGGCATATTCCTCAATAACTGTATCAGGGGAGAAGAGAAAGCCCGTATTTCCTCTTTAGGAAGAACCGTTAGTGAGGAGCAAATAACCTGGTGAGCACACCAAACATTTAGCCATCTACGCCAGATGAGTAGAGCAAATAATTTTTATTGGCTAGTATAGTTTTAGTACTTATTTGCAAAGCTGCCTTGAGGGTTTTCCAAATAAATGCAGATACCAACACTTTGTAAAAGGCAATTTGTTAATACTGCATCTTTAATGGCACACGAGTAGGTGAGAAATCATGTCCTATACACAGTACAGTGAAAGATGGTGTAAGTAAAGAACAGAGGACACAAGTGCAAAAACATTTTAAACGAGCATCCATGGGGGAGAAATACAGACAGAATATACTTTGTGCTTTCACAAATAAATGTTAAAGAACTGGGAAAAATAAAGTGAGGGAAAAGCTGAACAAGACAGACGACAGAACAGGGGGGAGAAAACTTCTGGGTTACGTTGCAAAAATTAAGTCAGATATCTCAACTTCATGCAACTCTAAGAGGCAGTTCACACAGACTGATCATTTGATTCCACGGGGTTTCATATCGAGTCAGATCTTTATAAAGTCTTAACACCTCGCTCTGTGGAATCACATGTGTTTCTGGAAATCATTAGTTGGAAAACGAATGCCTGGAAAGCAAATCAGGTTTTCCCTTCAGACACTGGAGATACAAGTTCACAGCAGACAAAAGCATGAGGGGCTCATGACGTCATGAATTTCATCTACATAGATACATTTCAAAATACCTTGGCAGTCACTACATGAGAGATACACGGTGATCTTTCCGACAACAATATGAAATAGAAAAGGTATATTTTGCACCGAGATTGAAAACAGTATCTAAGAAACACCACTCCCCTCAGGGCAATGACACATGGCAGGTCCTGTGGCCACATTTTCCAAGCCACTGCTTCACGGAGCAGCTCCTAGGGGGCATGTTTCTCTTCACATTCTGTTCACAGGCCTTTTGCAGTTTGGAGAAATGGCTGTCAACTTTCTTTGCGACCCTGACCAATCCCTTCTTCTAAAATCCTTCGAAGGGTCTTCACTGTTATTTCTACTTTTGTTTTAAAAGGAGGAAGATGCAGCAGAGAACTTTTCTTTACGTGACATGCATTGAATATAAGTTAGCTGGACTCAGAGGGAAATGTCTACTGAAACGGAGTCTGCCCCCTTGCATCCAGATTAAAATCTCCTCCAGCTGTCTTTAGGGACTTAGGGGCCTGAATCTCGAAGGAGAGGGTGTGCTCCTTCTCACTGGATTCTGAAATGATGTAAAATAATGGATTCCAAAAGGATTTTTAATTTATTCAGTGAACTGAGGCAGAATAGCTTAAGGACACAACTCTTCAGGAGGGACAGTTCAGGCTCTGGGACGTGCTAGATCCTCATATGATGGGAGTTTCATGAAACCTATTTCATGTTTATTATCTTTGAACACTATTTATAACCACTCCCTGGGAATCGGTTACATTTTTGTTGCTGTTGTTTTAAATAAAATGTACCAACTCTTTCAGGAAATGGCCTGAATGTCTTAGTACTCAGTCCTGAAAGAATTAGCCCATTTTATTGCCCAAGGTTGCTTGCAGATTGTTCTTACTCTGAAGCCTAACACTGTGCTGAGAACTGAATCAGGAGGCATGTCAACTGCTTGGGCCCAGAGCAGTTGCCTGGGGAGAAAGTGAAAGAGCTAACACCACACAGCACTAACATCTACATTTGGTTTTGTCATTTATAACTCAGCTGTAGATCCCATTATGGAATGGACAAATAGGAAACGTCCTTCTAGACGCAGAGCAGGATCTCCATCCTGGCAGGCAGGGTGGATTCCACAAGGCCAGGCTGAGTTCTCTGCTACCGTGGACTATTTTCCCCAGCTCAGCCAAATCCTTGGAAAAGGCATATGACCTGCCAGAAAAATGCCTGATTCTCCTTGAGGATGGTTTTGCTTCTTGGATGGGAGCCAGAGACTAGCTTCAATTTTTAATTAAACAATCTGAATGTGGTACGTTCATGTGCACAGCACTTGGTAATGTTCATATAGTTCCCTTATACATTTTACCGCACTTGGTCCTCTCATCCAATACTTCGGTGAGTACGCAATCCTACTCAGTACTCACTTCAATACTCAGTACTTCAGTAACGTTGGCAGGCCAAGCAATACTTCTATTTTATAGGTGAAAACACTGAGGCTCTGAAAAGTTAAAGGATTTGCCCCAACATAGCTGAAGGCAGTCAGTATTCGAACTCAGATCTTCCAATTCCAAGTCCAGTGCTCTGTCCAGTATGTAACATCCCCTTCTCATAATCCTGAGAAGGAGGCAGACCCTCTGTGTTGGCAGAGGACCCGGAGCTAAAATAGGGGTAAGAGACAAACTTGAAAAGCCAGGAAGGAACTCAAAGTGACCGTGCACTGGGGAGAAAGCCCCTTGTTTTACACATCCGAATCTGTATCATGTCTGTAATTACTATTTTAATGTCTGTCCTTCCCAATATATCCCTGTGGGAGCAGCAGGGACCCCAACCTCTAACCCAGGGCTTGGCACATAAAAGTGATTTTATATCTATCTGTTGAATTGAGCTGAAGTTCTGGAAGGTACTCTGGAGGAACGTAAAAGGGATAAAGCCAGAAAAAGGCCATTTCTGACAAAGCAGGGCCTGACCACTGGATCTCTAATCCCGAGGCCGAAGGACAAGATGATGGACTCAGACTATGACGTTGGGAGACTCAGGAGTTATGAAGAACATCGTCATAGGAGTTTGCCACATGGCTGAAGAGGTTGTAAGGCTGTAAACCTACTGTGGGGGATTCTGAAGGTAGCACAGGGTTTCCTCTGCCTGTGATGGTTTGGGTTCGCTCCAAGGATGAGACAAGCTCTTTGGCAGCCTTTACAAGTCTACCACCAGCCCTTCCTGCAAACAATGGATAGATGTGCCCATGAGGTCGCTGTTTCAGTTGGCAGGCTGAAGCAGACAGGAGTACTTCAAATGGGAAAAACAAAACATTTTTCCCCTCAAAAGGAGTTGTGCATTTCTGAGAGCAAATTTAGATTCTGTATCTGTCATTAGTGAGCATACTCATCCACAGTTAAGGACAAGACAAAAGTGTGTGTGTATGCGGTGGTTGGGGGTGGGAGGTGTCCTCACATTCTGGCAAACTAGATACTGGATGCCAAAAGGCAAGCCACATGGACACATTCCAACTTTTCTGTTCACGTGGCAAAAACAGCAGGGAAAAAATTTCAAAAAAGAAAGAACTACATCATTTGAGTGTGTGGACACGTGATGGTACATCCCTGGCTTGTTATTCAAGTATCAGGAATGTTCCCAAGCACGTGACTGTCGCTCTGGGCACACCTGTGTGTGGAAGGCTAACTTCAGTGCGTATGATCTTCTAACAGGGAGAGAACCCCCAGGGCAGGGTGGAGTCAGAGGCAAAATTCTCTGCTCCTTTCTGAACTTTTTGCTTAAAATAACTGTGGTGCACAGTAAATGCTAAAGAATGACAACCCTAAAGCATTTCTGTGAACTGTTGACCTTTCTTCCTAATTAAAATCACTTTCTCCCTTTGTGCTTTTAAAGATGTCACATTTTTATTTTAGTAAAAGTCAAATCAATTATTACTTAAAACATGTAAAGCAGAAGATGTGGAGGGAAAATAATTTGAACCTGCATTTCAGAGGCCTACTTAATCTGTTCTCAGTGTGGTAACCGCATTTTAATAAAAACCAATCCCCAGCATGATAATTCCATCCTGCTGGGATGGCTGGAGGGCTGCAATATTTGTAGAGCTTTGGAGAATCCCTTTAACCGTGATCTGAATTCTGAACCAGTTTTCCTAACGAAGGGTGAATAAAAGGAAGCGTGAGGGGCAGATATGAAACTAATCAGTCTGCAAAAATTCTTTCCCGTTTCACAGAAGAAGCCGCTTTTCCAGGGTGGTCTTCTATGCCCAGACATGCCATTTCCCCCACTTGCACTTGCTCGGCAATGTGAACATGTGTAGAGAATTAGAAACCAGACTGAATATGAAATTTGTCCTCCATAGTGCACTTGTCAGAAAAGGAAGACCTACAAGACATATTCTAACAGCCTGGGTCTTTTCTTCCCAAGTCACAACAACATATTATTTAGCTTCTAATGAGGTGCTTGTAACTTCTACAAAATTTATGCATGTTCGAGTAAGAGTCACCTAAAAAAAAAAACCTGACTTTAGTCCAGTTAGTAGTAAGCCTGATAAATTAACGGTTAGACGTTTTTAAAAAGACAGCAGCAAAATCAATCTTTACATTAGTAGACCATTTTAAATTAGTTCAAATCATGCACAAAAAGAACAACAAAGCTCAATATGGCATCTTTCAAAGCAGACTCTCAGGACTCATTTTATAAACACCTGCAGAAATGAAAAGGGTAAAAATACTTCATTTTTTCATTTGTCTTCGAAACATAGCGAGTCTATCTCAGGGGAGAAAGAATATAATCCAAGCACACAATGCATCCGATTAAAGAACACAGCAGGGGAGACAAAAGAACTTTAATATACACATTACCATCTTTTCGTTGGTCAGAACAGAAGACTTGCCCGGCTGATAGTCGTAAATGCTTTTGGGCTCTGCACGGTATTTCCTTGTATCCACTTTCTTATCTGGGGGCTCCCAGTCGTTTCTGGAGAAAGAAAATCCTATTAGAGCTATGTTCATGAAAATTGGCATCCGACACGGTCTGACTTTGGGGGACTGCAGTCTAATCAAGGAATTTTTGTATCGGAAGCATAAAATCGGACTCTGTGCAAAGCATTTAGTTGAGCTGGTTTCCTTCTCAAAGTAACTAGTTACATCTCTGTGTTGGCTTCACAAAAGGCTTGAGGTGTCCCGTGCTCAAAACTGGGCACCAGACGCGCAGAGAACGAGGAGAAGGGTGGGGAACAGCGGCAGCAAAGCTTGCTTTCCTCTCAGGAGCTCATCATTCCCCAAACATGCCTGTGCTTCCCACTCCTGCTAGCGCAGTGAGAGAGAACGAAGGTCCTGGAGCCCGTGGTTCCAGTCCCTGCTACAGCACTCGCTAGCCTGGCGAGCTGAGCCAAATACCTCACCCACGGCTACTTTAGTTTCCTCATCTGAAAAATGGGGATACCGGAGGGATTAAATGAGACAGTGCATGCAAATCACTTAGCAGAGCACCAGGCCCATGGTGTAAGCACTGAATAAATGTGATTTGCGATTAATAACCAAGTTCTTCCCTATTCCACACCCTGCCCCAGGAGTCACCCAAATCACAGCCTTAGGTGCAGATACTTAACCTGAGCCAGCAATGGGCTCCAGAAGTTACGTGAACCCTTGGAAGTTGACAAATTTTTAAGGCATGTACAGTATTGCATTTTGCACTGTGATTATAGTTACTTTTTTCCTGCAAAGCTACAAACCTCTTGAAGGCAGGGACAGTGACTTATATATGCTTATATTCCCCCATAGCATCTGGTTCAATCTGCGCACAGAATGTACCCAGCAGATGCTTGATGAATGCACTTGAGTGTGTACCCACAAAGACTTAAGGGTATACCCAGCCTTCCTTTCAAATTAATTATCAAAACCCTCAGGCAGATGCCACTTGTGTATGTGTGGGACGCAGCCACTCATTTGTCTATGAAGATGGAAAAGGTATGGAGGGGTGAAACTGAGTGTGTATTTAGAGGAAAAAAAATAATTTAGTTTGGTCAGAGCCTTGTTGGGAAGTGGTGAAAGAAGGAGCCTGAGGATGCATGGGACACCAGTCCAGATGGCATAAAAAGTTTGCTCCATCGGGAATAAGAACTCAATCGAGAAAAGTGGGTCATTCAGCACAGCCATCAGGAGATGATTAACACCATCACTAGGACCACTCCAAGCCTCATCTTTCAATGATACACATTGCATAATTATTAATAAGTGTGGCTTTGGGGTACCTGGGTGGGTCAGTCATCTTGATTTTGGCTCAGGTCATGATCTCAGGATCGTTTTTGAGCTCAAGCTCTGCGTTGGGCACTGTGCTCAGCACAGAGTCTGCTTGAGATTCTCTCTCCCTCTGGCCCTCCCCCTGCTCGCTCATGCATGTGTGTGTGCACTCTCTCTCTCAAATAAATAAAGTCTTTAAAAAAAGTAAGTGTGGCTTCATTTTAAAGTCATATTCTCTGGTATGACCCTTTCAGAATGCACAAAGAGTATGAAAACACATGACAAATTTTAAACAGTTAAGATTTCTCTTGTGAGAAGGGTAAAGTCATGATCATTATAGCCAACATTTGGGGCGCCTGGGTGGCTCAGGTGTTAAGGTGTGCCTTCGGCTCAGGTCATGGTCCCAGGGTCCTGGGATCGAGCCCCGCACAGCCTGCACCGGGCTCCCTGCTCAGCGGGAAGCCTGCTTCTCCTTCTCCCACTCCCCCTGCTTGTGTTCCCTCTCTCGCTGTGTCTCTCTCTGTCAAATAAATAAATAAAATCTTCAAAAAAAAAAGTATAGCTAACGTTCACTAGGCCCATACTGTAAGCCAGGAACTACTAGAAATGTTATATGCATTATCTCGTTTTATCCTCGCAACATCCCTATGAACGTAAAACGTATCCCCATTTAACAGACGAGGACACTGAGACTCAGGATAAGTCACAGGGATTCAAAATTGGGTTTGTGTGACTCTTGCCTCTAAGGCTGCCTGACCAGCAGAGGGAGTGCACTTCAGCGGGAGCTTGGGGATGAGAGCCCTGACTCTCAGAGCTGATTGTGGGTGAGGGAGCACTTACCTTTCTGGGCTTGATTTTAGTGAGGAAGAGCGGGCTGGGAGGGGAAGTGTGGCCGACCTCTTAACCACCTTCTCACCGTCGATGTAGCTCATCTCACTTTTTGAGCGAGGCACAGAAAGGGGAGATTTTGCTGGAGAAGAAAAGTGGGCACAAAAGACTTGCAAACGCTGAGGAAAACCAAAAACAGGAAGATGTCTTCCCTCATCCACCACCCTCTGTTCCTCCCCGGCAAGCAGAAAATTCTACATCACTTACTGTCTTCAGAAAAGGAGTACCGAGGTGAGTACAGATCTGAATCATCATCTAGTGAACAAAACAAAACGTAATCAGGGGCAATCCGGCTGAGGTAAGAGAACCAAGTGACATGTCCCCCCACTTGCACCGTCCTGTACCGGCGTCCAGCCACACTGGGAGCCTGACACACAGAGGAGGGGCCCAGTGCCGAAAGCTACACCACCGCAGACCCCATCTGAGAGCCCACCCAACCAAACAGGATCTGCCGACCTGCAGTCTGGAAGGTCCACTCATGACACCGGGGGGGCTGACTGCCACCTGACACCAAGGAAGCATGGGGACAAATAGACAAAGATCCTCCTCAAGACAATTTCCACAAGCAAAGCGAGAACACAGGGTCCCCAGCCTGGGCTGGAAACAGGCAGAGAGAGGTCCCTGAATGCTCACGCTGACAGTCTCTGGTCTAGCCTGCTGAGTCCCCCATAGTCCGCCAGGCCCATTACTGGATGGGTGGGGGAAGGCCCAAAGATGCGGTTTCAGCTGCCCACCGTGGTTGTGACCTGTTTTATACGCTGCAGTTCCATACACAATACCCTTCATCAAAGAGGAGCTGCGGCTAAGGAAACAGGCTGAGAAGACCCTCCTAGTCTCTTGCTTTGATTCCACCTCAACCTAGTTGCTTGAGTAGCTTGCTTTCCTCGAGACACAGCACAAGCTGACAGGTCTGCTCTGCAAAGGTACTGCCTGGGCTCAGTGTCTAAACGGTGACTCTGGAACCAACCAAGTCCCCTGGTTTTGTGGGCTTGCTCTGCAAGGGCAAGGTACACGTCCCACAACAGAGAACCCTGGGACACGGACACTTGCAGAACCGAGATGAGAGCTGAGCCCCTTGTGGAAGTAGCTGCCCTGAACTCAAAACGAGAGCACATGGACATTTACTGAAACGGATTTTTAAATTGGAACTGTCCTGAAAATGCAGGATATTTAGTCACTACGCCCGTGATAATCCCCCCCAAAGCATTTCTCCAACAAGAGTCAGGCTGCATCAATCAGCCTGTCCCGTTTTCTAGTATCTTGCCAACCCGAATTCAGAATTCTTGAGGATGAAATGAAGACCCAACTCCTTCCCTTAAAATTGGTACCAGCTTTAACAAAAAACATGAAGAAACCTGCAATCACAAGCCAAAGACTCCAATGTCACATGCTGACTAAGTGTTAATCAAGTCCTGTCTCTCTGCAAATCATTCTAAGTTTCAGAGCAAGAAAGGCTGGGATATTCTGTGAAGTATAAATGAAACTAACACTGCTATTATTTTGAGTATTATTCAAAGACGGCTTCTCTGGCAGCCCCCTCCCTTTTTAAAATATTTTATTATTTGACTGAGAGCACAAGCAGGGGGAGCGGCAGAGGAAGAGGGAGCAGACTCCCGGCTGAGCAGAGAGCCCGATGCGGGACTTGATCCCAGGACCTTGGGATCATGACCTGTGCCGCTCAACAGACTGAGCCACCCAGATGCCTTCTGGCGGCCCTTCTTAGTCCCTCCTCTCCTCTCCCTATTTTTATCTGTTCCAGGTCTCCCTCCAACCCAAACAAATAAAGGAAAGGTATCAGGTACCAAGTTACCTTTCCCTCCCTCCCTCCTTCCGCTTCAAGGATAAGATCTAGTCGATATCAAAGTTGAACAAGACTTGCCCTGCTATACATGCAATGTGCAAGGTGATTTACGTTAACTTCTGAAAATAGGGCAGAAGAGGTAAAATGTATTTTTGTCGTGCCTATTTTTGTTTTTTTAATAGAACTTCTGATTATTCTGCTGAAAATGCCATGATGTCAAAGAAAACTAAAAATCAGCTCTGACTGCAGAGATTTGACTGGAAAAACGGTGGCTGCCAAATGAGAAATTAGCTTACTTAGGAACCAATGTATGTAGTGCTTAAAATCCAGCCTAGCATTTTAGCTCAAAACCCTGTATCTCTGAATCATGGAATGACAGCCTATCCGTAGATAGTAAGGTCAAAGTTAGTTTGTAACTGTTACCTGGTCCCTGGGGTAAGAAGCAACCTTTTCATGCGGGAAACATGGCATTTAAATATTCAAAAAAAACTGTTTAGAGCCTAAGCTCTTTAAACAATTTTTTCTCCCCAGAGCTTCCTTATGCAGAAATCTGGAAGATTTGTTAGAAGGAAATGAGAAATAGTTCTTATAAGATGGAAAAAAAAAATAGCACAGTTTGGGGAGTTAAATAATTTCTGTATTTTGAAAAGTAGGAGGAGAAAAAAATTGGGGTGAAGGCAACAGATGTTGGAATGACTGAATGCTCATAAAGCTAATTCTTGGGGCGCCTGGGTGGCTCAGTCGTTAAGCGTCTGCATTCGGCTCAGGTCATGATCCCAGGGTCCTGGGACTGAGCCCCGCATCGGGCTCCCTGCTCCGCGGGAAGCCTGTTTCTCCCTCTCCCACTCCCCCTGCTTGTGTTCCCTCTCTCGCTGTGTCTCTATCAAATAAATAAAATCTTAAAAAAAAATAATAAAATAAAGCTACTTCTTATTTGACGGAGGTAGAAAAAGCAAAGTCACCCAGCTACGGCCAACGCAGGGCAGGAGCCCCTCTGGGGGAGCAAGCTCTTCATTTCTGTGTCCACGGCATCCGAGTCCGATATGTGGATTTCAGTTCGCCTTTGAAGACGGCAGACTGAAATTCCACGGATTCAACTGAACACTAGCCATCAGCGCAGGTCCCAGGGGATGCAAAATTTACTTTAATTGTTGATGTTTGTCTTACAAATCTAACGTAAGAAAATTTTACCTCTGCTTATGAATAAAAACAATCGCGGCTTCCATTCAGCGCTGAACAGTGGCTGGTAGTTTACTCACATCATCTCAGTCAATCCTCGCGAAAACTCCTGGAGGCACGTACATCTCTCATCTCACAGATAAGAAAAGGAGGCCCAGGGAAGTTAAGAGAATTTGCCCTTAGCCTCACAGTGAGGAAAGGACAAAGCAGGAATGGACCCAAGGTCTTTCCGACTCCTCTCTTCCCTGTGCTGCCTCTAAGCCCTGTGACAGGGTTGGGGGCTTTGTCCTACTCCTCACCCCAGCCTCATCTACCCAATCCTGGGAAAAACCGTGGCTCTTCTAGTATAATTTTTATTGTGGAAGAGGCAGGGGAGGGTGTTGTTTTGAAACTCAAGTCGTGCACTACGGTGCTGGCCAGACTGACTTCCAGCCCTTGAAGCCTTTGCTCTCTTTTTCTGCATCATCCCCTCCCTGGTGAGGCTGAAGCAAGTTCTTTCTTTTTCTTTTAAAGATTTTATTTATTTATTTGACAGAGAGTGAGTAAGTGAGAGAGCACAAGCAGGGGGAGTGGCGGGCAGAGGGAGAAGCAGACTCCCTGGTGAGCAGGGAGCCCGATGCGGGGTTCGATCCCAGGACCCCAAGATCATGAGCTGAGCTGAAGGCAGACATTTAGCCGACTGAGCCACCCCGGTGCCCCCCCTTTTTTTTTTTTTTAAAAATCAAACTTATTTATTAGAGAGAGAGAGCAAGCGTTAGCACAAGCAGGGGGAGAGGCAGAGGGAGAAGCAGACTCCCTGCCGAGCAGGGACCCCGACGCGGGACTCGATCCCAGGACCCTGGGATCATGACCTGAGCCAAAGGCAGACGCTTAATCAACTGAGCCACCCAGGCGCCCCCCTAAGCAAGTTTTCTGAGTTATCCACTTCTAGTTTTTTGCTGGTTTCTATTTACAATGGGTAAAACTGAGTCACTATTGCTACACCATCTACTTGCTATTTCTCTTGCTCCCTTCTCCTGGCAGGCTAAGTCCACACTGGGGTAGATGGATATGAAGTTAAAAATACCAATGAATGGGAAAACTGGGTACAAGGATCGCCCTTCTGCATTTCTGCACACTAGAGTTAGCCAATGGAGTGTATGTTTTTAAGTACAACTAAGACACAGTAAATGAAACGTTTTTCAAGCTGTTTGTGAACACAGACATTGTCTGCGTCTGAAATCCTGTCTTTATGGTTTTCTCCAAGGGTTCTTTAAAACTGCGCCTTAGGGGGCTCAGCTGAGCTGGGATCTTGTGATTGCTGCTCATGGTGAAGCCACATGCTGACGGTGCCCCTTGGAGCCTTGGCAGTGACACCCAGAACTTCCGGTGCCAGCAACTTCCAGGAAGCTCTAAGGCTCAGCGGGATTTACTCAGGATGAACAATCCACTTCTGGAACCCAAAGGCCCCTGCTGGGCTCCGATGTTTACACATCAGCGACTGCCCTCTAGGCTTTGGCAATCTATCCTTGGAGGCTCGATTTGGGGGTGGCTACTCTCCTAAAACTGCCAGGAAGCACATAATTGCTCTTTCAACCACAGTGACTTTAAATGAACTTCTAAAAAAGACTATTCCTGGATTTGGGGGGTTTCTTTCTTGAGAATTTATAACAATCTTAGAAACATGGGAACAAGTGCTGGTTGAGAATGATTATTTTATAAAAAATATGTAACTGACTAAAATGAGACACACAAAAAGCAGTATTTACATAATCATGTGCCTTTATCAATTAAATTTTAATTTTATGCATTTCTTAGTCATTTAAACTTAAAATTATTTTTCTAACATCAGGGGCTCATTTTTGACACAATCTTTTTCTACTGCTCAAATTAATTCCTTCTGCTTCATTCCACACACTTCGGAAGAGAAAGGATAAAGGAGTCAAGATAGACACACATGCTCACCCCACAAAAATATTCAAAGAAAAAGATGTATGCAGAAGTGGGGACAAAGTCTGGGTGGGATCAGAGAGGAAGAATCAGCAAAAGGAGAAACGGGGCAAGGTGGTCAGGAATAGTCCAAGGAGCCGGGGGAGACATTCCCAAAGCTGCCTATGTTCTGGTTAAAGGCAAATTTTAAGGGATTAGGAAGGAGAAAAAAAAAAAAAGATCCACAAAGGGTATAGAGTAGCTATAGAAAAAAAATACAGGAAAAAAAGAAGGATCTGAAGGAGAAGAGAACTAGACAGAGAAGAAAAGAAGTAAGGGCAGGACCAGTGGGCAGGAAGGAGACTCACCGTCCTCACCTCCAGCAGCGTTCCTGGCCCGTGGAGGTGGAGGGTGTAACCGCACGCTCTCGCAACTATCCTGCAGGCTGGTCTAAGAGTGCACTTGCCAGGCGGAGCCCTCCTGCCCGGCTGTCCTCAGGAGAGCAAAGGGGACCGCTGTGGGCAGCCGGGCCCCGCCTCCCCTGGGCAGTGCAAGCTGCAGCAGGGACAGGAGGCACACAGAGCCTGGCCAGGCATCTTCACGATAGAACTACTTGCTTGAACTCAGGCAAAATGAGGCTATTCTTAGAAATCCTGTAAGGCCAGTAGAGGATTACTTTAACTCAAATACAGACGTGCCTGGGAGAAATCAGCCTCCCAAATCTTTGTCCTGGCGCATCCTCATCTAGGAATGAGGACAAAGGTCCATGAGACAGACCACTATGGCATGATCCGTCACCACGCCCTGGGGATGCCTTGAGACACTTCACCAGAAGGTGGCAGTGGTCACCATTGGCCTGACACTGGTGGAAGGAGCATCCAAAAGCAAGAGGAAAGGCTGGTCTCTGGGACTTCCCCCTTGGCTGATAGGACAGCCCTCGACCCTGACATGGCCAAAAGTATTCTCACAGGCCATAGGCCATGGAATAACACACCAGATACCTGGTTTTGTGCTGATTTGGAGGCGTCATTTGAAAAGCACGGTCATTCTGTGGACACAAAGCATGTCGAGAGCCAACATCATTTGGCCATGTTCAGAGCGGGAAGGCTAGCTCTTTTGAATCTGAAGTTCCCTCCACCCCATTCTATATTCCCATTCCCCTGGATTGCACTGGCAAGTATCTTCTCCTTCTTGGAGGGTGGGAAGGGTGGTCTCCTCCATTCCAGTGGTTCTCAGTCCTGGCCATGTGTCAAATCACTTGGGGATGTTTCCTAACTGCATACCCCCACATGCCATCCCGGGAAACGTTGGCGCCTGGAGTTAGGGGTCAGAGAGGGTCAGCCAAGAACACAGGGTGCAGGAGAGGTAAAGGAATCAGCAGAGCAGTAGAATAGAGTAAGAAAGAGCCCATGCTTGGGGGCCCTGTATATCTGTGTTTAAAACCTGGTTCTGCTACTTACTGTGTGATCTTGCACAAATTACTTAGCCTTCCTGAGCCTACACCCTTTATTGACGAAATGAGGACTTACCTTGTGGGGTCCCTGCGAGGATGAGACAAGGTAAGAGTTGTGATGCACTCAGCATGTGAGGCCTTGTATTCAGTAAGGGCTCAATAAATGGTGGTCGCAGCAGGCGCTGTGGTGGTTATGCTATTGTTGTTATTAATATTATTATTATTATTAATGGAATCATGCCTGTGAGCTGCTGAGGTCTGAGCCACCACACTGCTATTTCCTAAAGCAGGAGGCAGGGGATGTGGCCGCAGCAGCGGGTCTGAAGACCCACCCTAGCAGCCCCTCCACGTCTGGGTGCAGCGGTGGGTGGGGCTGGCTCCGGTCGCTGTCAACGGTCTCTCTCCCCACCCCCCCAATCTTTCTGACCAGACATCTCAGATGCTACAGAAGGACATCTCTCTGCCTTTAAGAGTGAGAATAGAATGAAATTCATAGACAAGCAGCTTTGGGTCACAGAGGAAGGAATGATGGGGAGAAAGGGTGGGTCAAGTGAAGGTTAGAAAAAAAAGAAAGTCATACTCATTTGCTCAGCCTTACTTGAAAGTTATTCCCAAAGGATTTCTGGTAAGTTAATTTTGATAAGCTTTCTACTGACCGAGGTACACAGTGAAATTTCAAGAAGTCAGTCTCCTGAATTCATTCTGCTCTTCCTCAGTTCCCTCACCCCAATCTCTCCCAACTACCTCATGAAACAAAGAGCAATCCGCTTGTCCCAGAGTGGTCTCAGAGATCACAAAAGAATTAGAAGGGACTGCGCCCTCTTGGGAGTTTACAGGTTTCTTTTCAAGTACATTTTAAACTTCACGGGTTAAGACATGATAATTCTGTTTATCTTCTGAAAGTCTGGACAAGTTTGCTTTTTCATTATAGTTGGGGGGGAAAAACAGGTTGCTAAGCCAACATAAACAAACTTTCCCGTAGTTTTTTACTAGTCAGGAGAATCAGCTTTCAGACACTTAGAAATATTTTTTTTTATACTGTATATGCAACTAGAATTTGGACGGAGGAAGCGGCCCTTAGGCTAGGTTTTGATAGGTTTATTGCAAATAATTCTAGTTTCAAATTCTGAGTTCAAGCAAAACAAAAAAACCTGCAGCAACAACAGTCTCCTCGCAGAGGACAGACTCTGGAATGACAGCTCATATTTCTCAGTAAAGCGGGCTATTTTTTAATGCTCATTAAAATCTATGGCTAGGTGTTAATTTGTCCTTAACACCTTTCTTTGAAAGGCATAAATATTTCCCAGGTTAAGAAGGGCGTGCAGAGCGCAGAAGCACGGGGCTGAGGGGGACCTACCAAAGCTCACAGACATCACAACCACAAGCCAGAGGATCTCTGATTACTTAAAAAAAAAAAAAAAAAAAAAAAAGATTCCTTAAAGTGATCTAGATCAAACGTTTCCCTCATTTGTAAAAAGCCTTCATGTGATTGAATACATTTGTGGTCTATGTCTGGCTCTGTCATCTCCAGCAGGAGCAGGGGTGAGATGAAATCCACCCTATTTTTAAAAGATCTCTGGGGAAGAAGACTTCTTAGACACTTGTGTTAAAGCCTAATCACCTTGGTTATTATTAATCTTTTATGTTCAAACTAATTTTTCCCCCTTTTTATCCTTTACGACAATTTCATCCTTTTTGGTCTTGGAAAATAAAAAATATTAAGGTCTGCTTCCTACATTCTAGGTGACAGGTTACCATATCATCCCTTACTGTTTATGCCTCAAGGCCCAATCACCCCAGTTCCCTCTTGAGCCTGACTTGATGTGTACCAAAAGGCAGACGTCATTGTTAGCCAGGGTTGCTAGGCGTGGCAGCTGATGACGTGGCAGCTGTGTGTGTGAGGCCACGAAACCCCGTCTTCAGACCAACAACCAGGCTGCCCGTGGAAGCTGCCGGCACTGCCCGCGGCAGGCCTATGGCATTCTTCCAGTCTGACGGAGTCTCTGTATTTCTCCACAGGACTTCTCCAGGTGGCCTTCCTCTGCCTATGGGACACTATGCCTTCATGCTTGCCATGCACTTGTCATCTTCCCCAAAAGGGAGCCTGGTGCTGGGTTCTCAAGTCCAGATGAAGCACCAATCGAAAATCGCATTTAGTCAAAATCACCCTAAAAAAATAAAACGTTTCCCTCACTCAGCTCAACTGTTTCTTAAGCTATGCTTTTGGCTAGAATCAGCACCCCAGGATAGACTAGGTTACTGCACACCAGACAGATTCTTGTTGGAAGTGAGGTGGTCACTGATAACAATGAAATCATTAGCATCGAGTTGGAAGCTGGGTTTGTTCAGGAGATTTCTTTTCTTCCAAACCCAGATATGAAATGGTTGGAAACCACTGACAAGCACATCAAAGGGAGAACCAAAATGGAATCTGGTATTTTAACTAAAGCTGTATCTAATACATCCCAGGACGTCCTTTCATATATGAGAGGCAATCAGTAAGAGTTTGATGAATGAGTGAATGCACGATTTTACCAGTGATGAGAAAGCTTGTGGAGGACAGTCTGCTGAGCTAATGAGAGCAGAGAAATACCGAGGAGGTGGGACAGGGCTGCATCTCTAAAACAGAACTATGGTAACATGGTCCAAAGCCTCACTCATCAACATTCTCCAGATATATACTGAGGAGCTCCTTTGTACCAGCAAGCTTTCCTCTGGCCTTCTGGACACATGCTCTTGCAACTGCCACCACTTTGAACACAGAGCAAGGAAGGGGCCTTGTCTAACTCTCTGCTGGATGTGCACTTTTGAGAACAGAGGATATATCTTATTCACGGTACTATTTTCAGTTCCAAGGACAATGCATGGTACTAATGCTCAGTACTAATCGAATAAGTTCAGAGAGCTCAACATCTCATCCTAGAAGAGCATTTAATGAAATTTCCTCTTGTATACCCCCTTCCACGTCCCTCTTTCTGGGTCACTCATCCAAAGATCAGATAATCCCTGGGACTAGGGTAGTTCTCAGGATAGTGCCTTTAACTTACCTTTTAGAACCTTCTTCGACACCTAGATTTTTTGCTCTTAGATACAAGTGTGACCATCCTTCCCAGCAGGTCCAAATTCCTAGCCAGCAATTTCATGAAACATTTTCCAGCTTGGCCAAAACGCTTATTTTCAAGAGACATCATCTCCCACCATGAACGGACCTCATACCTGGATACCTCTTTGGGAATTCCCTACCAAGGAGATATACCCTGAAGATCCATGAAGGGCCCAGTGACGGGTTATAGCACATATAGAAACTAGGTAATTCGTCTGTTCTTGACAGCAGGTGTGTCTACCTGCTGCCCATCAGCCATCACGACTGCCTCCCCGCATCACTGCCCAGCCACCAGCACCATGAGACCACCCCAAATACTGGCAGCTGTTCCCAGAGCCCCAAATGTTCAAAGCATTATAACTAAGCTATACTGGTTACCCCATTAATCGTGTAAACTCCAAGGGACCAGTACTAAAATCCATCCGTATAGACTCCAGTCATACAGTCAGCGAGGAGCGAGACTCCACCATAAAACACAAGGATGGGGGAAGCAAATGCCTGGGAGACAGCCCATTAGCCACCAGAAAAAACCCCAAGGTGAAGAAGAAAGTAACATCATCAGTACAAAGAGAGGCATGTGATTTTCCTTTAATTACCTTCAGATTTAGGGCTAGGAGTAGATGCTGGAAACTGGTAGGTAGGAGTGTAAGGATTGTCCTCTGTAGCAGAGAAAAGCAGTGGATTTTGAAACTACCCACCATGAAGTGAAGGAACTGACAAATCCCGCAACTGATTCTTCTGAACGATTACCTACTTTAGTGTTATTAACGCACACGGCATCACACTTAACACGAGATTAATGAATTAGAAAGGCCTTAGTTATTTTAATACAGCACATCATGCAAATGAGTGAAATAAAATTTTCACCAACCAAAAAGGACTACAAAAACAAAATCTAAAAGCCAAATCTTATTCCTAGAATGGAACTGTAAGAATTAATTTAAGGCTAGGACAACAGATAGACTGTCTAAGTTTATGGTACCTTCAGAATTTTGCTGGACTTCAGGAAGTTCAGGGAATTGGTACGTAGGGAAATAAGGGTTTTCTTCAGGAGTGTCTAGGCAGAGGAAGAAGTTTGGGAGAGAGAATAGAGGAAGATACAAATGGAGAGAATGAACGAATAGGGATCCACACACAGTTCAGGCTCCTTGAATTCTGGAACATACTAAGCTTCACTAGTGATATGAAAGAAATTCAGATTGCTTTTAAAAATCCAGTCCTTTTGCCTGAATTACTGAGACACATCTAAAAAGACAATATCATTTTTCCTCTTGGACAAAGAATTACATATACACAGGCTCTAGTAAGTGAGAAGGATTTAGCACAAAGCTTCAAGTTTCCAAATAAACCAGTGGATTCTTAATTTTTTACACATCTCTGTCTACCATTAGGGCAGCTGGTTTTGTTTGGAACCTGTAATTTGGACTGAGTTAATCCCTCTAACAGGAGAGAAGTGATGTTGCCCGTGGGACAGAATAACAGACTGTTCACATATGCACCCGTGGCTTGGCATTTGGGCTGCCAAAGCCAGGTCTCAAGGTGAGAGAGACACAGAGTGCTGGGGGAGATGGACATCAGCTTGAGGAAGTGACCAACAGAACTGACATCACCCAATCAGAGACCCAGCCTTTGGCATCATCACCATGACTGAGCTCATCCACCCAACCACAGTGGATTTACTCTTGGTTTAGAAACACTAAACACTGAACATCTCAGTATTCTGAAAGAGTTTGAAGAGAGGCACAGCCAGGTTCATTGTGAACCTTGTAAGAGCTCATTAACAGTGATGTTAGTTGGCATCTGCAGCTAATCAGAAAGACCGGTTATTTGCGGCTTAGGCCAACACCGACCAGAATGCTTTTTCTTTGCCCTCATGTGTCATCTGTGCTAGGCGGCCAGACTGGATTTGGCTCCAGGGAACAACAGGATGCTCTACCCATGGGAGGAGTGGTACCCTTCCCATGGTGCAGCTGCATCCTCATCAGCTGACTGGCAGCACAGGCAGATGGGAGCTGGTGGGGTCATGAGCTACCTGAGCACTGGCCTGGGGTTCTCCCACCATGCTGGATCACCTGCTGATAGCCCAGTGGCCTCTGATTCAGAAGCACTTCTCTTCAAGCTTGAGCGGGCTTTTGGTGTGTCAGCTCTTGACTGACTCTCAGGGCTAACCTGCCAAGTGCTGGCTCCCAGTTGTGGCAGATTATTTTTCATTTTAACACCACCTTACAGGTGCACCATGCACTCTACTTCCTAAGGCAGAATTTGCTCTCTTTTGGACCCTGCAACATCCCTTGGAGGAAGGGAAGTGGGTTGAATGCAGAGAGGTATGTGACTGGCCCAAAGTCACATGAGTGCTTAGGGGACTAAATCCAGGTGAGACCAGTTTTCTCCACTCCCAGTTCAGGGCTTTCTCAACTTGCTCTGCCTACAAGGCAGTCATGGGCTGACACGGGGGGCTGCACCTAAAGCTGGAAGCAGGTGGGAGTCAGAGCTGCTCACATCCCAGGCAGGCAGATGCTGGAGCATAGGTGGAGTGCTGGGCTCAACCTGCTGCATCCCATAACATCTGAGAGGGAGGATTTGAGAGCTGACCTCAAATCCCACATGTGAGGCAGAGCACAAGCGTTCCCTCCCTGCTCTGCTCTGCAGGCGTATGGCTGGGCTCAGGCAGGCTGGTGCCCAATGACGTGAGCATAGGGCCCAGTCTTCTGACATCCTAGCAAAGCAAGTTTAAGTCCTCACCACAATAGTCAGCATATGAACACAGCATAACTTCTGCAAATGAAAATCAGTACCTCTGTTTAGTTTGTGGATCTGTTTAAACATGGTCTTGTACCAGTCTTTTGATCTCTCGGTGTTCTAGAGAAAAACAGTAAAATAAAATGGAAAGGTCAGCACATTTCAGAACTTCTATGATCATGAAATCATAATGGAAAGTGACAACATCTGAGGTCAAAACTCACGTAACTCTATACATCTTGGTGATCCCACATTTATTGTTTTTTAAAGATTTTATTTATTTATTTGACAGAGAAAGAGAGTGGCAGGCAGAGGGAGAAGGAGAAGTGGCTCCCCACTGAGCAGGGAGCCCGATTTCGGGCTCAATCCCAGGACGCTGGAATCATGGGCTAAGCCGAAGGCAGCCGCTTAACCGACTAAGCCCCCCAGGTGCCCTGGTGATACATTTAAATCTTCATTAAAAATGCAAAACTTTTGAGAAAGAACAGCCAAACCAAGGGGCGCCTGGGGTGCTCAGTCGGTTAAGTGTCTGGCTCTTGATTTCGGCTCAGGTCATGATCTCAGGGTCGTGAGACTGAGCCCCGTGTCGGGCTCCACAATCAGCTTCTCTTCTTCTCCCTCTCCATCTGCCCCTCCCACTGCTCAAATACACACTCTCTAAAATAAAATAAAATCTTAAAAATAAAATAGCTAGACCAAGAGATTCAGACCTGAATCTGCAGAGTAATATTTGGCCAAAAAGGATTTTGAAAAAAGTAAACAAAGATCCACTTGAAATGTGTCCATTCATACAATTTTTAAAAATTTCATTTTTTAGAGAGACAACTAAGCAGAAGTAAAGCCTCCTAGAAACATAAGAGGCAAAGAATATTTGCATGCCCCCACCCATTTCAGGTTATTCTGTAGAAGTGTAGTCACCTTGGAGAGGGCCAGAGAGTTCTCATCCTAACCACAAAGCTGGGCTGTTTTTAAGAGCAAAATAAAACAAGGAAGGGTACAGATGGGTGGTTAGATCAGGCATATTTACTCCCATTTTACAGATGAGGAAAAAAGTCAAAACGATGCCCAAGGTCACAGATCTGGTGAGAAGGTGAGTGGGAAGGCTGCCTCACATGATGGTTAGGGGTGTGGGTTTTGGAGTCAGAGAGACTGTTCCATTACCCACAGGTTGTGCAATCCTGGGCAAGGACTGTAATCACTCTGAGTCAGTTTCTTCATCTATAAAATGGGAATTCTATCTGTGTTCGCCTTGTAGAGTAAATGATGGCTGACAGAGCAAATGACGAGATCATGTAGTCCCCAAGTGGTGGTGGCAATGACTGTCCATCACAGCTCCCTTTATACTTACTACTGTTCTTATATACTTAGTATTACTTAGGACCAGACAACAGTTCTTCCAAGGCTCAGCCCATTGCTGTTTCTACTCCTCCTCCAAAGGGACACACAAAAAACGTCCATTCGTTACATGGAGACAGTAGAGAAACATACTGCAGCTAGTATTCGGAGGGGTTCATGGAAAACAAGGGGATTCACCCTAATCTGGTTTCAAAAGCAGGCTTCCCTTGAATTCCGCGGGGCCTGCAGGAGGCTGGCACGCCTGTGTGGAGGGGGAGAACTGGGGAAGCCTGAATTCATTCTGTGGTTCCTTTAGAGCTTCTTGCTCACCCTGGTTGACGGGAGTATCTCCCACCCAGAGGAACTTCTTCCTGAACCCATCAACAGGGACCCTGAGCCCCACACTCCCCAGGCTCTGTAAGCCTAGACCTACAATTTCTGCGTGTGCTCCACGGGACAAAAAGGGAGACTGGGAAACACTGCCCACAACATTCTCTCTCCCCTTAAACATGCACCGGCCCGAAGCTTCTCAGAGGTTCTGCTGCAGAGAACCCGCTCTGCCTATGTTCCACCCTGCTTTTCCCCCATAGTCCCCTAAACTCCAAACCCCTTTCCTCATGAGACTTATTAACACCTAACATGCTTTGGGGGAAAGCTGCTGCACTCTGAGTGTCTCTGTGGCCCTCAGCGGGTTTGGAGAGTGGGCAGTGCCTCAGTCTTTGCGGCATTTCCTCATGAAGCCTTCGTCAGCCACAAGTAGGGTCAAATGCACTCGGGGGTATGCATGTCACCGGCGTAAGAGGAAGCCTAGGTAGGACTTATGGGTCCGCATTCGTACCCGGAGTGGGATGCCCACTTCATCCATGGAAACATCGCTCAGGTCCTGAGCACTCCTAGCCACCCGCCTACTGTCATCCTTCGCCTTTTTCTCAGTAGCCCTTCCAGGCGAGGTGGGTTTCTCCTGGGTTGGTGCCAAGTCCTGCTCTCCCACTCTTCTTTCTGAGACAGGATCTGGAAGCGAGAAATAGTCATTAGCTAAACCAGCTCTTCCGGTGGCTCCAAAGCAAAAATCTCCCAAACAATCCAGCTGGGGGAAGTGTGTTTGCTAATTCCCAATAGGAATGAGTTTCATTTAGAGTATGCATTGGCAAACTACGGCCTGGCCATCTGTTTTTGTAAAGTTTTATTGGGGCATAGCCACACCCATTCGTTTGTGTATTATTTATGGATGCTTCCAAGTTACAGTGGCCAAGCGGAGTAGCTATAACAGAAACTATGGCTAGTAAAGACTGAAATATTTATCATCTAGCCCTTTCAATCACTAAGTGCACATGAGAGTTGATTTGATTCAGGACTAGAGGTTACAGAGAGAGAATAAACAGACCAGGTGTGGTCTACAGATTATAAAATTACTTCATATACTCTGTTATTCCAAGCCACGTCACTTACTATGAGAAGGCATTATGGCTATGCATGACATGTCCTGTGGCCATGGGGGTGAACCTCTCAGAGCACGGGCCTTCAAGGAGCTGATGGCCAGTGGGCAGAAAGGGTGAGAGAGCCAGCGATGAGAATGTAGGATGACCAGGGCGGACAGAGTCCTCATCTCACTTAGCTGAGGAACTTAGGTTCAGGGCTGACGTCTCAGAGGGAGTCACCCAAACAGGAAGTGAGGGGTGCCCCCGGCAGAGGGAACAGCATCAGCAAATGCAAGGAGCCTCTGAACTACTCTGAGCTACACAGGTGCCAGGCACTGTGCTCAATTCTTCATATACATTATCTCAGTTCATCTAATAACCCTATGAGGAAGAAACTATTATCTGTCCATTTAAAAAAAAAAAAAAAAAAAACTGTGAAGGGCACCAAGGCACAGAGAAGTTAAAGTGCCCTGCCTGAGGTCACACAGCTGCCATGTGGCCAAGCTGGGATTTGGACTAGGGACACCTGACTCCAGCGGTTCTCTATGAACCATACCCTGTCATACCTCTCTCCAAGACGGCACCAAGGCTTTGAGCCTGGCCTGATCCAAACAGAAGTTAATAAAGGGACTGGGGTGGGCAAGGCAGGGAGAGATGGCTGCTTCCATTCAGACATGGTAAATTTGATGGTGAGACATCCAAGCAGAAAGGCCCTCAAAGAAATAGGCGAGCAGGGCCCCGGTGAGGCCATCAGCATAAAAGTCATGGAAGAGGTCAGGGAGATGGAAGCGCTCATGGAGGAGTACGTGCAGGTAGAGTCAAGGGCTGACGTCACGCGCTGAGGGGTGTCACAGCCGACACGCTGAGGAGCAGAAGGGATCCCCCAAAGGACATAGGAATTATCGGAGGGGGAGGAAATGAACCCAAGAGGAACAGTGAGGCATCACTGAAGCCAGAGAAGACAGAATTCCAAGAAGTGGGTGATCCAACCCATGAAAGGAAGGAAGGAAGAAAAAGAAACCAAAGCAGAGAAAGGGGCATTCGATTAGGCAAAAGAAGAGTCACGGGATCACTGACAGAGGGAGCAAGTTTCCGAGGGCGGTGGGGGTGGGTGCCAGGCTGCAGAGAAAGGGACGATCATGTGAGCAGGAAGTAGGGAAGGAACTGGGGTGGGGGTGGGGGGTCAGCACACAAGGACAGACTATGGCAGGTGGCAACCATAGAGGTCAAGAGGCTAGGGGTCCAAAAGGTTTGAGCCGGGGGAGTCTAAGTCCTAGCAGCGACGCCCTGGTGGTAAGACTGAAGGGGAGCGAGAGGGGACTGGCACTCAGCCAGTGCTCAGGCAGGACCCGGTCACTGACTGAGGGAGAGCTTCTCATCTCTGGGAAAGGAAAGAGCGCAGACGGCTGGCTAGAGACTAAAATCCAGCGGAAAGGAGGGGCCTGAGGGCACACGCAAGGTTGTGCCCGAGTCTGAGATGTCCCCGTGTGGAGGAGGGGCTGGGGACGAGGGGACACGCTGTGTCAGCATGCTCAGGTGCTACAACCCTCACAGCCTGCCCACCTGGTGGGGCGACCCAGCTGGGATTTCAAACTAACTTCTGAAACACGGACTCATTCTGTGACTGCAGAATGGTTTCTAAACCTTCTGTGCGAGACCCAGGGGCTAGTGTGTGCTTCAGACGACCCGATCCCTGGCATCACAGCCATGAGCCTTCAAGGATGGTAAGATCAGACTGGACGCACGGAATGAGTTCTCATGCTCCCAAGGCAATTCCAACAGGAGGCCAAGGATTTGGCAGGAAGCCTGGAAGTGCAGGGCAATTTCAAGTTACCCAAGTCTACCCTTAATATGGCTCTGCTGAGCATTTTCCTTATGCCTGGAAAGGTTTTCCTAAGTGTCACCAGGAAGCAGCAGGAGAGGCTGATTTCAAGCCATCTCACCCGGTGCTTGGAGGTGCTCACACTCCTCACTCCAATGTCCTCTCTTAAGAAGTAGCAGCAAATCACAGACTTGGCATTCTCAGGGTTCCCAGACCCAGAGACATTTTTTTAATCGTTAGGGCAAGTGGCTCTAACAAGAATCACTTAACTGCAAAACTCAGGCTGACAGTCCAGTGATTTGTTCCAAAGCTGTCAGAGTTCTTTGGCTCTACAAAAATTAGCCCTGAATTATTTTATTTTAGAAGCTTGTGATCCTGTGATTCATGACTAAGTAGATTTTCAATGCACAGAGAGATGAAATGCGTCCTCAAAGAAATTTTTTTTTTTTTTTTTTTTTTTTACAAAGTGAAAACCTAACATGACACTTTCTCATACCAGGCAGGTGACAGGACCACCCTGTGACATCCAGAGGACAATGAGGGTTGCTGCTATTTCTCATGAGGCAAATACTGATCCCTCAACAGGATATCCTGCAGCATTTCCTTCCAGTTTTATACTGAGCTTTTAAAAGGAAGGTGCTGGAAAGGGCCACTCAGTGAGTGACAATGTTGACAACCTAGGACAGGGCCTCTGTGTTTGTGGGCAGCTTCCTTTTTCTTCACACCCAAAGCTCAGTGATAGAGGACCACAGCAATGCTGACATGTCCCTGAGGAAGATGTGCCGGACCCTCCGCCCCAGCCCAGACCTGCTTCCCTGCCCATCTCCCCAAGGGAACCATGAGCTGGAGGTGGCCAAACACCATGTGGGTCTCCATCCAGAATGAATCTCGTTGAACAAGAAGCCCCATAAAGGCTCAATAAAAACCCATTAAGGACTGGGGGGTCGGGCTGAGGTGAGTGGCCCTTCAAGTGCCATCACCCCAGGTACGATGGGCAAAGCCTCACTGATGCTAGGGAGCAGAGTCAGCCCAGCCAGCCCTCTCTCCTTCAAGAGCTTCTGAACAAAATGGTGCTGTTCTTTTTCAACAAAAACTAACATTTAGTGAGAACTTACTTTATGTCCCACTCTACCAAACACCATTAGTGGCTGTGTCCTAAAACTTAAGGAAGATGGAAACATTAGGCTTATTTTGGAGCCAAGGAAGTGGGCTGAGCCTGCCAGCCTGATGGAGAAGCCCTAACACCGCACAGTGCTTCCCAGCGTGCAAAGCATACCACGCGCCCCCCTCCTGTCGCACGTGAGCCTCACGCCTCTCCAAGGACGGACGAGGACGATCCTCCCTGTTTCGCACATGAGGCAACTACGCTGCAGGGAGGAAAAGTCACTTACTCGGGGACAAATGATGTCAATAAAAAGAAAGAGCCAGGACCAAACTGTGGGCTTCCTAACTTGGGTTTGGGCCCCCGTCTCATCCATTTCACTGCTCCTTCCCAAATCCCAAAGGCAGGACAGCGTTCACAGGAGCTCCCTTCGTTTCACAGCCACCCTGGTCTCAGCAACCTGGGCTGGGGCCAGGGACTAAAGAGGGTTAGTGTGGCAGAGTCAGGAGGGGGCAGCGAAGGGCATCTCATGCTCAACCACGGCCTGTCCTGGTCCTGGGGCCAAGTCCCGATAAAGCAGAGTGGGTGTGAGAACCCCGTGATCTCCCCCCGCGCCGGGCTCTCCACGAATCCCAAGGGCAGCAGTAGCAGGAAGTAACACAGAAATCGTGAAGCAGCTGCTCAGAAAACGATGAAAACTGGTGTATCCACCAGATCAGGGATTCCTGCCCCAGATTCACACGTGTCTGTACAAACACCATGTGCCCATCTGATAGGTGTGGTTTCTTCTAGAGATGAATCTACTGCCTTTATTAGATTCTTCAAATGAGTCCATCACTACGAAACGGTTAGGAACCATCACACCACACCGTGGGCTGCTGGAGGGCAGCACAGCACCCAGACATGGCCACAGAGCCTGGCCCAGGGCCGGATACAAAGTAGACACTCAATAAAATGAGGAACGAATCAACGGCGGTGTCTGCTGACAATGGAAACTCCTGTCTACCAAGCACCTAGTGAGAGCCAACGCTCAGCGCTGGGCTGCTCGTACGCAGGACCTATGCGGCAGTACTGTGTTTCCCATTTGGCAGAGAAGAAAACTGACCTGTGGTTTCGATCATTAGCAGCCTGCCTAAGCTGTACCCTTGGGGAAAAGTAGGACCAGGGCTCAAAGCAGAATGGCTACAGAAAGCCCTAAGGACATGGCGAAACCTTCCCATTCCTGGGCTTCCTCACAGTTCTGCCTACGTGCGGCTATGCTTCAACAGGGATGGAGCCCTGACACCCGATTATCTAGCAGATCCATGCCCACCACTGCCAGTTCTTGATGAGACTTGCTCCTCAAGCGTGGTCAGTACACAGACAGCATCAGCATCCCTGGGGACCCGGTCAGACATGCAAGTTCTCACCCATATGCATTAAATCCGAATCTCTGGAGCTGTGGCCTGCAAATCCGGGTTTTGGACCAGGTCTCCAGGAGACTCTGCTGGCTGCCCACACCCCCTTCCAGGCACTGCTGGTCTGGAGGCTCTCACCCAGGTCCATCACATGCCACTGACTGGCATCTGGGCTTGCCACCCGACAAGAAAAGAACCTGCCCACATTTCCTAACCCTGACTTATCACATCCCAGGAGAGGGATTAGAAGCAACAGAAAGGGGACTTCTTCAGCAAGGCCTGCCACAAACGCTCCACCTAAGGCATAACTCTTTGTTCTTTTTATTCAGAGGACCCTGTTCTTACCCATTAAGGCACTGATCACAGCTGCCCAGGGCCCATGTACAAGTTGGGGTCACTGGTGAGGGGTGCCCCGTCTGCCCCACAGGCTGCACAGAGGAGGCAGGACGGTGCCTGCTTTCCCCATCCTTGCGTCCCCAGCACATCAGAGGAAATCACCAGACTGTGCCGCTCACACATCAAAGATGTTAGCGTGTAAAGAAATATTTGGCACCTACCTGGAAGGCTACTGAGTCGTTTTTGCTGTTCTGTGATAAAAGAAAAGATATACATCATGAGATTTACACAGACATGGTAAGACCAGGAAGTCCTGCCAGAACTCGTGAGCATCCCCAAACTGGTGTCCTGTCCCCTGGGCTTAGATGCCAGACCGTGGCGTGGCCACCACAACCAGCCCAATGCTGGAGCATTACTTCCGTTGTCCAGGTGTGGTGTCTCCAAGCCCCCACTCCTACATCTGCACCAAGATTCAGGGAACGGTCACTGTTTTCTGGTTGTTTCCATCTCGTTTCAAGGTGATCAGATCATGGAAGGAGATCCTCCCAACTCCCCTGGTTTCAAAGGACCAGGACGTTATCACGACCCCACTCTCAGTAATGTTCTGAGGGAAACAGAATCGTGATCGTAACCATGGCAGCTACCCCCTCATGAGAGCTCGGTCAAACACCAGACATTGTTTTAAGAGCTTTCGTACGTTAACACTTTAAATCTTTGCAACAACCCTAAGCAGGTAGGGCAGGTGGGTTGAGACACCCCAGAGAAGCGGCACATACTACCCATGAACTGAACATCAGAGGAGGGCCTAGAACCTGAATCCCTGACTCCTACTGTGGGCTGCCTTCCAACCCTGATCATCAGGCCACCGCTGTTCCCCAAAACAGATGGTCTCTCGTGGAGGGGAGCCCAAGATCTCCTTCTGAGAGTTCTGTGTGTACGTGCTTCGGGATAAGCACAAAAATGACCTTTACCTTCCACGGCTGCTAAATATAAAGCAGCCGCATAGATAAAAATAGAGCACTGGCCAGCCCCTGGGTGCTGTCATCATCCCCCTTGGCTGCGGCCCTACCCTCCCTCCAAAATCCATGTGGGCAAGAAGGAAACAGAGCAGTAGGGGTGCTCACAGCCAGTGGAACAGCCTGCCCACCTCTGGATGCGGACGAAGTTCACACCAGCTGGACAACAGGAGCCCAGCCGAGCTCTAGGCTCAGCTCTGCCAGCAACTTGGTAGGGATATTGACCAATCGCATAAACTCTGCCCTTAGTTTCCTCATCTGTCCAATCAAACTGCCCACCGGACCGATGGTTCCCAAACTTCAGTCTGCCAAATGGAGGCAAGGGCTTCCTCATCAGGCAGGCAACAGCAAACTTATTCAACTTAAAAGGCTATGTTGTTCCTCCTGGGATCTGAAATGACCTTTCACAGAATGACATGTGATACGGATAAGAGCAGTTGTTTTTCAGGGGTGTTATTTACTATAGTTAAAAATGAGCAACCCTAGGGGTAGTCCCCAGGCTGCTTCCTGTGACCATGAGACCCAGAGTCTGGGAGCCACGGAGCTCTTAGTCTCCAGTGTGGTCTTTGGACCGGAAGCAGTGATGTGTCCTACAAGTTGCTGGAAAAAAAAA